TTTAAAGTGCTTTTCTCCATTGGTCTCTGGTTCTGCAAGTTGATTGTATTCTGTGGGTCTGTTTCTGGGCTTCATTGTTTATCCTTTTCCCGGTAACACAGTGCCAAGAACACCTTAATATTACTCTAAGTCTCAAAGTTGTACAGTGAAGTTCCTCTGAGTTGGTCTCCTTTGATGCTGTGCTTTGTTTTCAGGGTCTTTTGTATATCTTTAATCATCTGTCAGCATCCATAAAATAGCAGGCTCTGGATTTGATTGTCACTATATTAATATATAGGTCTAAATGACACCAACTAACATCATGACACTATTTAGTCTTCCTGCCCATGGGCATAGCAAGCCCTTGCATTTATTTAGCTCTTCTCAATTTCTTTCATTGGAGTTATGTAATTTTCTCATATAGTCTTGTTTGTATTTTCTTAGACTTACATATAAACAATTCATTTTGAGGGTACCCTTGGTGATTACATTTTAAATTCTACTTGTATGTTTTTGCTATTTGGACAAGTCATTGGATTGTAGCCTTGGTACAACTGGCTACCAGCATCGAGTTTGTTACTTTGCCTCCACTGTAACTCATTTTAGAATTTCTACACAGATGATCACATCATCTCTGATTGAAGACAAGTTTATTTCTTCCTGTATTAAAACCCACTCAGGCTGCTTTTTGCAAACACTATAAACTAGGCAGTTTATACACAAAAGTATTTACCTCTCGAATTTCTGGAGTACGGAAAAAAATCTAAGATCAAGGTTCAAGTATGTTTTGTGTCTGGCTCACAAATGGGAAACTTTTCTCTGTGTCCTCATCTGTCAGGAGACACAGTGCATCTCTGTGGACTTCTGTGGAAGCAGCGATCTTAGTGACAGCAACTCCGCCCTGGTGACCAAGTCACCTGCTGAAAAGGCTATCTTGTATTCCCAACCTTACACAGGAACGTGTATTTTCTCACTTTTAGAGGTGCTTAGTTTAGATTTATCTTGAGGTCCTTATTAAAATGATATTTTTATAGTTTTCTAGCTTGTCTTTTTCTAGTTACAGCACCAGTAAGTTGGGAATTATTTCCTGTCATTCTATCTTCTGTACAGAATTGATATTTCTGCATTAATTATTTGATAACATGTACTGTTGGTCCTACCAGAGCTTACTCCTGATTTTTATTGCATATATATGCAATATATACCCTGCTTTTCATTGAATATATGCAATATAAATATATATGCAATAAAAAACAGTATATATATATATATATACATATATATATATTTGTGTGTGTGTTTGTGTGTGTGTGTGTGTGTTTGCACATGAGTGTGGAGTGCCTGCAAAGACCAGAAGAGAGCATCAGATCCTGAAGTCAGCTGTGAGTCACCAGATGTGGATGCTGAGTCCTTTTCAAGAGCAGTAGAAACTCTTAAACACTGACTCATCTCTCCTGCATTTTAATGAACATTTCAGGCCCAACATGATATGACCCTATGTCAGAGTCTCACCCTGGTGCTTTCCTTCTTGACCTTGAATTTTATTTCTTCTCTTTGTTACATTAGAGACTGTTGATGCTGCTCTTCGCTCTTCTCTAGAATGCTGTTCTCTCTCTTTTTTCCTCTCCTCTGATTCTTCTGTTCTGCTTTTCTAAGCTTAACTTTCATGCATGATTTAGCCAGAGTACTCTAGAAGAACAGAACTGAGGGAAGGGGTATATGTTTGTATATCATGATATATGTATGTATATCAGAATGCATTATGTGAGTTTTAAAACTGTAATAGTAACAAAGGTCAAATCACACCTAAGGTGTGGAGACCCCTATAGGTATTTGGTCCTTGAGACTGAGAGCATCAGTAGTTGGAATAGTCCCATTCATTTGCATGCAAAATTCAAGATGTCAGTATTTTTTTTTCCTCTGAGTAGTATTCTAATGTGTAAATGTGCCACATTTTTTTTTTTATCCATTCTTCAGTTGAGGGGGTATCTAGGGTGTTTCCAGGTTCTGGCTATTACAAATAATGCTGCTATAAACATAGTTGAACAAATGCTTTTGTAGTATGATTGAGCATCTTTTGAGTATATGCCCAAGAGTGGTATCACTGGATTCTGAGGTAAGTTGAATCCCAATTTTCTGAGAAATTGCCATTACTGATTTCCAAAGTGGTTGTACAAGTTTGCATTCCCACCAGCAATGGATGAGTCTTCCCCTTACTCCACATCCTCCAGCATAAGCTATCATTAGTATTTTTGATCTTAGCTATTCTGACATGTGTAAGATGGTATCTCAGAGTTGTTTTGATTTGCATTTCCCTGATAGCTAAGGATGTTGAACATTTCCTTAAGTATCATTTGGCCATTTGAGATTATTTCTTCTATCTCTTGTATTCTTGTATACTTGTTTCTGTAGTTCCTGTTCATTTACCCAGATTTTCCATATCCAGAATCCCCTTGGTTTGTGTTTTCTTTATTACCTCTATTTCAGTCTTCAAGTGATTAACTGTTTCCTTCACCTGTTTGATTGTTTTTTCTTGGTTTTCTTGGGTTTCTTTGAGGGATTTATTAATTTCTTCCAGTTTTTTTTGTTTGTCTTGTCCTCAATTTCTCTAAGGGAGTTTTCATTTCCTCTTTAAAGTTTCCATCACTTTCATAATGTTAGATTTAAAGTTGTTTTCTTCTACTTCTTCTGGGTTAGGATGATCAAGTCTTCCTGTTGTATGACTGCTGGGTTCTGGTGTTACCGTGTTGCTTTTTAGGTTGTTGAAGGAATTCTTGCATTGGCGCCTATCCATCTCTTCCTTCAAATCAGGCCGGCAGTGTTTTTGTGTCTTGGTCCAATCTTTGCTGTGGTTGTCTGAGTGTTTGGGAGTTTTTCTTGGTCTGCTCTGTACTGTCAATGTCTGTCTCAGAAAGCCTCTGAAGTCTCTATAAGCCTGCTCTCTTGATTTTTTTTCTCCTGGTTTGCTCTCTTGGTGCTCTCTCTTAATCCCCTCAGTGTTGTAGCAAGCTCTTAGTACTTCTTAAGTTCCCTCAGTATTGGAACAAATTGTGTTTCAGAGTTCCACCAAGGTTGGGGGCGGGGTGTGGCTAGTAGTTTAGATGGTGGCTGGATGGGTTTGGGTTTGGGGAAATCCTCACCTCTGGAAACTCCTAGCTGGCTGGCTAGAAAAGCCAAGGGAGTTGGGGGAGGGGCCCAGGGTTTTGTCCCACTACGGAGGTCCTAGAGCTGTTCACTCTCTTAAGTCCCCTCAGTATTGGAGTAAGCTGTGTTTCAGAGTTCCACCAAGGTTGCAGGAGGGTAGCTTGTTCTAATTTTCTGAGACAGGATCTCTATATGCATCCCTGGCTTACCTGGGATTCACCACACAGACCAGGCTGGCCTCATACTCATAGAGGTCTTCCTGTCTTTGTTTTCCAAGTGCTGGGATTAAAGGTTTTGACCACCTGTCACCATTCCCAGTATTTTACATGTATCCTAGGGGTTGAATTCAGGCCCTCATGCTTGTGTGGCAAGCACGTAGATGGAGCTACCACTCCAGCCTGGAGAAGGATTTTTGGTCTTTGTTTTTGATTGACATGTAAGGGGTATCCACCCATCTCCACAGGAAAGGCATGGCATGTGGCATCCACTTACATCTTAGCAGAACAGGAAGTAGACAACAGGAAATAGCTCACTCTCAGTAACCCACTTCACTTCCTCCAGTTCTGCCTACCCACTGAAGGTAGAGCAACACCTTTAGTTGGGGACCAAGTATCCCAAGACACGATCCTGATGTGGGGAAGCATTTCACACCCAAACCACAAAAGCTCTATTTTACCAACCTGAGAGGTCACAATGAGACTGACCGTGGCTACTCTAAGGATTGAGGCTAAAATTGCCAGTTTTTACCCCAAATTGTATCTTCTCTTTGCACAAGCCATGGTTTTCTGTTGCTCCAATAACCTTTAAAAAATAATGAAGACTTCTCATTATTGCTATCTGTTCCTAATGATCTCCCAGAGAAGTGGGAATGTTTAGAAATGAGGTAGCAAAATAAGTGAAGGGAAGAAGAGAAGGGAAAGGAAAAAAAGCAGATGGAAATGCATAATAGTGTTATATTATTTTTATTGAATACATATAGTCATTCATATTTTTATATATTAGATATATTTTCCCATAGTAATATCCCTCTGATAAAGCAATAGAGATGTAAGTGTTCAATTAAGTATTTCAGTTAAAGAACCAATTCGAAATTCAAACTTTAACCAAGCAAATGCATGATAAGTTAATTCCAGTGCTGACTCTATTTGGCTTTCTAGAAACTTTTCCTGATAAGGTTATTCTTTTATTAATGAATAAAATATAAAATACATTTTAATGTTAAATACTAACATAGAAACAACAAAATTTATAAAACAAGAGCATTGAGTCTGATTACTAGAATGTTTTTGTGAACCTAATAAAATAGCCTAATTGAGATTAAATATATTTTTTTACCTAAAGGATATAAAATAACAAATGTTCAGTATTTCTGGGCTTCAGTTTACACCTAATCTATTAGCAAAAATAATAAACTAATGTTACAATGTTTTATTTGAAATGCTTTAAACTTCAAAGCATAATAAAATATTGTTACAGCAAATTATGTCACAGGGCTCTGAAATTAGTCATTTCTGTGTAGCGGGAAATTGTTTCTATAAAGATTATGGGACCAAATAAGGGAAAAGGCTGCAACTTGTGAGTCTCTTCCTTTTCCAGTCTTAGAGCAGTGCTCCACAGTGTGGGGCAGATAGGATGTTAGAGGCCTGCTTCAGGAAGACTCTGGTCCCAGAAATCAGCAGGTCAGCAAGGCCATCCCGAGAAATGCAAGAAACAAAAGCCCACACTTACCCCATGTTTGCTATCTCAATTCTACCCAAGGCAAGTTGCTTCAAAAGACTTTACATTAATAAAATAGAACAGGAGCCTGCAAATATAGCTGTCCATTGTCCCTCTACAGATAGCAACTAAAGAGGTTGTCCTAGACGGCATATCCAGGCTTATTTGAGCTCTGCTGGCGTCGATTCTGAAGGAGATCCTTCTGCATCTGCATCTGCATCTGCGATGCAAATAAGATGAGGCCGCAATTTTAATACACTCAAAATTTTAACTTATTAATTAAAAAGTATATAACAAATGTATTTCTGCTCCTATTCCTAAGGAGTAACGCAAAAGTCTATAAAAATTGAGTTTGCAATCCTACCTTGCAGCACAAATCACGGTTGGGAAACAAGGCTCCACTTTTGCACTAAAGCAAGCACCATTCTTTCCTATCCGAGTCCTGCCAGCCTGGGATGCAGAACTTCTGCTTCCGAAGCACAGGACAGCACTCAGCTGTGTGGCTAGAGAGAGTTCTCTGTGTGGTGTCTGTCTTTCTGCTTCCAAGTCTCACACCCTCTCTTTACCTGGGGCCCCTTGCCAAAGTCTGTAACTGAACCTGTGGCTGTTAGGTTTTATGTCAACACACCAAGAATGTCTGCAAACAGTCATGTTAAACTAGGAACAACCTTGTTTGAGTAGATTCATTTCCAGAAAGTTACAACTCTGAGGGGAGGGTTTTCAGGTAGGGAGGAGAAGGCACCAGCTGCTTTAATTGTTGTGGTTTATAAAGTGTAAACTGTGACGGACAGAGGAGCAACCATGATCAATGGTGGAAAGAAATGTGGCATCAGCAGTACCAGCCTTGGGGAGGGAGGAGCCAGGATTTTCAGTGGTGATGCCTGCTTCCCATGCAGCAGGTTCCCAGCCGCTTGAACGCCCCCCCCCCCCCTGCCCAATCCTCAAGGACAGTGTGCTTCTCTGTTTATGAGTTTGATGGCAAAACGTTTGTGTGTGATTAAGTAGGACCTGCTGCCGGTGAAAATGTGGATTCCGTTAGAACACCTGGATTGGATAAGACTTGCAATGACTTATTTCCAGAAATTTAATAAGTTTACACCAGTGTCAAGTGCTATCCATTGGTTAGACCTTATGTGTATACTGATGGTGAGGTCATTTTTATTTACTTGAGGATAAAATGCAGAATACTAAAATATAGTTTATGTGGGTGAGCCTGTGTATGCACTGCATGCACATATGTAAATTGGGGATCCTAAGATAATAATGATCTAAAACTATAGGTGAAAGAAGAAAATAATATCAGACAAAAATAAATAAAGACCAATGACACAAGGGGAAAGACTAACAAAGTGAAGATTTTTGTTTTTAAGATGGAAATCTGTAACTAAAGTAGAAAAGGCAAATGGGAAAGAAAAGGCACCACGAGGGGTGCACCCACCCACCGTGACAGTGGAACTGACCTATTGGGAGCTCACCAAGGCCAGCGGGACTGGGACTGAATAAGCATGGGATGAGACCGGACTCTCTGAACATGGCGGACAATGAAGGTTGATGAGAAGCCAGGGACAGTGGCACTAGGTTTCGATCCTAATGCATGAACTGGCTTTGTGGGAGCCTAGCCTGTTTGGACGCTCACCTTCCTGGACCTGGATAGAAGTGGGAGGACCTTGGACTTCCCACAGGGCAGGGAATCTGGACTGCTCTCCAGTCTAGAGAAGGAGGGGGAATGGAGTGGGGGGAGGGGAGAAGAGTGGGGGAGAGGAGTAGGGGAGAGGGGGAGGGGAATGGGGGAGAGACGATGTATGGGAGGAGGGGGAGGGATATGGGAAATGGGGAGGAGGCAGAATTTTTTTTTTCAACAACTAAAAAAAAATAAACAACAACAACAACAAAAAAAAAACACAAAAAAGAACAGGCACATTGTAGTGCTACCATAGAATACCGAGGACAGTAACAAGGTGGGTAGCCTGGACGCTCCTATACACACTCCAGTAAACAGAGACCCTACTGAATCATGAGTACAAAGTGTGCTCATATCAAAATGAGTAAGGAGGCTGAATCCATTCGTCTGTGAGAAAAAGACTCCGGGATAGAAAGGTCTGGGAACGGGCATGCTGCGGTCAAGCTGGGTCTGCTTTGGGTTGCTCCATGCTGAGAGTTTCTCAGAAATCTGCCGTGTCTTGAAGGGCTCAATTTGAAAGGCAGCAACTGAGTACTTTTTGAGGGAGTACACAGAGGCAGGATGACCCTGTGTCCCATCCCACATGCAACACCAGCATCTTTCAGGCACCACCCACAGAAGCACGGAACAGTGACTAGCTTATTGCTAATAGTAAAACGGCAATTACCCTGTAAACTCATTAATGTAAATTGTGACCCTATAAACACAAGGACAGATTAAAATCCTATCAATAAAAGCAGGCCAAAGAATTTGCTGAACACACCCGACTGAGGAAAAGGCACAATGTTTTCACTTAGACCTCCAAAATAAGGGACAAATAACACCACAATGGCTACTGCTACCTCCAACTTGTCATCTGGCCACTCAGAGTACACATCAAAAACCAACAAGCTGAGAGAACTGTCCCCAGGGTCTCAGCACAGCTTTTCCCGCATGGGAGACATAGCCTACCTGGATTGCTGTTTGTGCATGAGTTGCTCTTCTAGACTGTCTGTCCCTTCATCCACTACTCCTCCATCTGTACCTGTCCTGACCTCACGGTTCCACATTTCACTTCTGCAGCTTGCCTAGCCCCCTGAGGCTTGACTCAGCAGCATAGCTTACTACCTGATCCCTTTGCAGCCCTGCCAGCTCTTGGCTTGTGTCCAGTTGCCTCGTAGGGGCTCCTTGAACTCTGCTGTGGCTCTTATCCCCTTTGTAGCTACACCTTGGCCTGCATATATGCATATATGGACACTTATTTTGGGATGTGTGATGTGATTGGAGATTTAGTTAAGCCTGGAAGGAAAGAACTTGAGCTTGCCTCAGGAAGCTATCAAGGGAGGCAGGACTGCTTGGCAAATGGTTGCCAACAAACCCATTGCTACTCGTGTGTGTGCTTGTTAAGTGTGGATGTGTTATTAGTCAATTAATTCTGACACGGTAGAAAGACACTGACATATTCACCTGTGTTTGTGATATAATATGCTTATCACAAGACATAAAATTAGACTCACAGAAAAATAGGGGGCTAGAGCCCCTAAATCTATCTACAGACTTATACTTGCTTTTCAGCAAAGGTAGAGAGAATATATAGTAGGAAAAAACAGATTTTTCACTCAATGTTATTGGAAAATGAGTACACATAAGCAAAATATGAAAATCAAATTTCGGCCCACACAACATACCCAAGTACAAATTAAAGACCTAAGCAAAAGACCTGCCACTACAAAGCTCCTAGAAAAACTACAAGGGAAATCTTCCAATGTTGGTGCTGCTATCAGTTCCTTTCCTTTTTAAAAAATGTGTTTTATTTATCATTATTGTTTTTCTTTATGTGCATCTGTGTGTATGCCTTCATGAGCTTATGTTTGCTACGTGAGAGCAGGTTCCTGGGGAAGCCAGTTTTAGGACTGGAGTTGCAGGTAGCCACCCGTTAGCTGCCCGATGTGGGTGCTATGGCTGAACTTGGCTTTTTGGCCATAACCATAAGCACTTAGCCTCTAAGTTAGTGTTTCTTAACCTGTGGATCATCACTTCCACAGGGGTGGATATTTACATTACGATTCATAACAGAATCAAAATTACAGTTATGAAGTAGCAACAAAAATAATCTTATGGTTGGGGGTCATCACAGCAGAAGAAACTGTAGTAAAGGGTCACAGCATTAGAAAGGTTGAGAGTCACTGCTCTAAGTCATTTCTCCCGACCCCAGAAATGTATAGATGTTTGTATATATGTTATATAAATACTGTGTTACATAGAAAATACTGAGCTATGTGTTACATATAAATATTATATGTTTATATATAGATCTTTTTATTACCAAAACACAAACACCACAAGCAAAATAGATAAATGAAATTGTATCAAACTAACAAGCAAAAGAAGAAATGAGCAAAATAAAAATGCAATGCACAGAATAAGAGAAAGCACTTTGAAACTGCTTTTCCGGGAAGGGATTAGTCTCTAAAATATATAAGGAGCTCAAGTAACTTAGCAAGAAAGGAAACTGTGGGTTTTAGAAACGGGCAAAGGAGCTGGGTCTGGTAACTCATGCCTGTAACCCTAGCCCTTGATGCCTGAAGCAGAAGGATTGCTACAAGTTTGAGGCCAACTTTGGAAACAGGGAGTTCTAGGCCACATCGATTTACATAGTGAGATCCTGTCTCAGAATAAAAGGAAATGCAGCAACAAGAGATAGATAGGCAGTAGGGATTCGAGTGCTGGCCCCAGGCGGGCATGTGCTACACGTACATACATGCAGATAAAACACTCATACACGTTAAAGAAATAAATCTGAAGATTAAAAATCCTGCTGGCAAGGATGTGGGGAAACAGGACCCCAGACCACTGTTAGCAAGAGTGTGCATGCGCAGAGCATCCAGGAATCGTCACCAAGCTCTTCTCACTCTTGGGTACACATCCTGAAGAACTGCAACCAGGTCATGAGGCAATCCTCAGTCCTCTGTTCACTGCAGCACAGTTCACAATAACCAAGAGAGAATCTCAGAATCTCAGCCTAAAGACTCACAAGAGGATGAACAGAAGAAAACAAATACACACACATTCTTAATCAAAAAGTAATAAACAAATTTTAAAAGATAACTCATATTCAAAGAATGAGAAAGAAGTCTATTCTGCTTCAAGGAGCAGTGAGGCATAAAACTATTGGCTCTGTAACGTCCAGGAGGGCCCCTTTTCACCAGTTGGCCATCTCTGTAAGGATGGAGACTGATTGGCAGGTCACACTCAACATGGAAAGCCATACAGAGCTCTGCTCACAGACCAATACCACAGCATTTTAAATGTTTTTGAGCACACCCCCCCCCCCAACAGCCTTTTCTCTCACTACTGAAAGCAGCAAATCCCCTAAAGAAAGATTACTGTTTTTCAGAACTAAGTTGTCGATAGTCATCAGTGACAGAAACTGAACACAATCCTCGGTAAGTTTCCAAAGGTGCAAACAAGCAAATTGGACTAATTCTGTAAATGCTAAAGAAAAAACAAATACTAGCGCTGTATTTTGGGCATCCTAAATTATTCAGTTTAAGAAACGCTGGTATCAGAGAAATGGAATGCCTGAACTGGGGCTTCCCAAGGACAAGAAGGCATCCCGTGAAGGGTATCAAAGGACAAGCTCATGAGGGACAAGGACAGTGTCCTGTGAGAACTCTTCACATTCGGAAGACTCAAACTGATACCGTGATTGACACTTTGCTGTACCAAATGGAGTATCAAGATTTTTGATAACTATAGTAAAAACATGAGGCCCCATAAGTCATAGCTTTTTGTTCTCCCATCTGAAGGAAAAGAAAGAAGTCTAAGTACACACAACCCACATGCCTGCCCCACATTCTAAGCCTTCTTGGAATTTGGGCATGGCTTTAACCTGCATATCTCCCTAGGAGATACATGAGGAGATAAGACAAATCACCTGCCGCCCTCCATGGTACACGTTTCCACGCCATAGTGACCCTCACCTGGAGTTTTCTCGGAATCTTCAGGGGGCTCTGGATCATGGGGCGTCTCTGTGTCCTCGGTACTTTCAGAGTCCTTTGTGGCCCGAGTGGACAAGGATGCCCTGGATGTCTTCGGGGTCCTCTTGTCAGACTCGCCTCTCTGCTGCTCTAACCACTCATCCTTGTAGCCGTTGCTGATGAGTTTGGAAAAGTTGGTTGGAGAGCTGCTCTTGTGACCGGGCCTTAAAGAGAGACACGGGCCAAGGTCACACTTGAGTGCCGAGGCAAATTTAAAAGGGAAACTTAGAAGCAGTGTTCAGAAAACTTAACTTGTGAAGGAATGCTGCTGCTGAGCTCTGCCCCCTCTCTCCCCTTTCCCCTTCTCTGTTTCTGTCTCTGTCTCTGTGTGTCTCCCATCTACCAGTCTCTTTCCCCATTTCAAACATAAAAAGGGTCCCAGTACATCCCTGTACGTGAGTGATAGCATGCTTAGCCGAGTTTCCCAACCCTTTTTCTTCTTTTACCCAATTAAAATTTAGTCAGAACACCGGTATTACACAAGGAGGTCCTAGAACCCCGCCCCTGGGCTAACATGGGGCTACTTAGGATAGCCGCTCCTGTCTTAAGAACTCTTCCTGTTGTCCACTCACTACACAGCTCTGCCTCTGTCATCTGTCGCCTGCTGCAGCTCACAGATCCTATCATAATTAACGCTGAAGCGCGGTAGGGCAGTAGTGTGAGCCTTCCAGTCAGGCGGGTGACAAGCACACTCTTGTCACCTCCCAAGCAACAAGTTTCGGACTTATGAATCACCTTACTGAGGATTTTCCTGGTGAGTCCCTCCCCATCCGTCCCAATGTCATGAATGTGATTGTTTTGAGGACTCATTCAGCAATTCATGACGTCTGTTTTCTCCTAACTAGACTTCTGGCAAATGAGGTGACACAGGAACCCACAGGCTTTCTCCCTTCAGCTGGAAGACCAACAGGTGTCAGTATACCAAGGGAATCCCCAGATGAATGCAGCATCAGAGTGCCTGCATTCAAGGTTGAAACCCTCACCCCCACCCCGGGCTCAGGCTTTGGTGACAGGAAGTTTCAGGACCAAGTGCTTGAGCAGGGACAAGTGGCCACAGACCACGACCTATGCAGCAAACAGGCTGCAGGAGACCAGGCATGGGACCATAAAGGAAAAACCTGTGTTAAAAAAAGGAGTGAAAATGCAACCAGGTTCTCAGGTCAGGCTGGACAGGGCTCTGTGGGTAGAGGGTGGGGATCAGGCGCTACCATTGCAAACCTGTCTCTGGAGAGAGCTGGGCAGGGCAGTGAGTGCCATCAACTCACAGGTGCCACCAGGGTGGAGGACAGAAAACAATCATCCAAACAGCACTCGTTCTCACAAGGTGGACACTTACATAGGAGGCAATGACAGCCTGCTCCCTTCAGGGTCTTTGTGGCTAACTGGGGTCCCCACTTTGCTGGGATTTTTGGAATTAATGGCTGGCAGTTTCACCTGTGTGAAGAAAACCAAATCTATGAGTTAGGGTCAAAGAAAGAACTCCAAGAGCAGCAAAGATATGAGTACTAGACTTTCAGTATGGTCACAGGCTGTTACAATAAAATAAAATTAAATAACCAACACTTCAACAGGATGACTTCTAGAGGGGACAAAATGTGCTTCAAAAACAGTTGCTGTGTTTAAGGAAAGAGGTCCCCTGCTCAGGAGGAAAACAATCAATAAGTGTTGGGGATAATTGATATTCTGAAGGGTCTGGCAGGATGGAGGGATCCACCAGCCCATATAAAATGGAAATGTAAGTATGGTGAGCTTTGTGAAAGTCACCAAGAACTAGAAACAAAACAAACACCCACCAACAAAGGAATGAATAAACAAGCGGTACCTGGTCTAAGATTACTTAACAGTAAAACGGTCAAGGGTTCTAACACATGGTACCACATGGCAGAGGCAGGCCAAAGGGACTGTAATCACTAGCTTGATGACACTGTTTTGAGAGTCTAGAAGGTGCTGTGGGATAATCCTTCCGTACGCTGTGAATATATGTTGTGGTCATTGGTTGATGGCAAAGCCTCTTTGGCCTATAGCAAGGCAGAATACAGCTAGGCAGGAAAGTCAAACTGAACACAGAAAGAAGGATGGAATCTAGAGTGATGTGAGCCAGCCGCCCAAAAAGCAAGATGCCAACAGACCAGTAGTACCACGGCCATGTGGCAATATACAGATTAATAGAAATGGGTTAATTTAAGTGTAAGAGCTAGTTAGTAATAAGCCTGAACTATGTCAAACAGTTTGTAATTAATATTAAGCCTCTGAGTGAGTATTTAGAAACTGTTATGGGATGGGACAGGACAGAGAAGCAACCATTTACAGAAAGGAGAACATGCTAAGACTTATCCTAATTAGGGTTTGTTGCTGACAAACACCATGACCAAAAGCAACTTTATTTTATGATTCTCAGGTCACACTCCACCTTGGAGGGACACCAGGACAAAAACTCGCGGCAGGAACTAAAGCAGAGACGGTGGGGGAAAATTGTCTTCTGCTGATCCCTATGGCTTTCTCAGCCTGCATTGTTATATAACCCAGGACCACCCTCCCAGGCCTGGCACCTCCCAACATAGTCTGGGCCCTCTCACGTCATCCAGTCATCAAGAAAATGTTCCGCAGACTTGCCTACAGGCCAATCTGATGGAGACATTTTCTTACTTGAAGTTTCTTTCGGACAACCTTAGCTTGTGTCAGGCTGACAAAAATTTAACAGTCACAAGACTTGAAAGAGATCAGAGACTGCTAGAGATGGAAATTAGGAGGGTTTGGTGACCAAGAGGCTGAGACATCTGAGAGGCAACAGAACTGCTCTGTAGCTCAGTGTCTATGGCGCTTACACGAGGTATGCATCTGTCAGAAGGTCAGCACTGAGTGACAAGTTAACTGGGCTCTGTGTAAATGGCTTCAGATGAAGTGGTGATACCTCTGTCCTAAGGACAGGTCAGAGTCTACGGCAGGCTGAGTGACAGGCAGGGCAAGAGCCAAGGATTTGATGGGTGCCCCATTCTTTGCTAGGGCGGAGAAAGCAGGTCTCTGCGAGGCAGGAGAACCTGTGGCAATGTGACAGATGGGGTAGGGTGGCATGCCAAAGTCTAGGACAACCAATAGTCAAGTGTTGAAACGATTCTCACAGTAAAGTCCTTACCCTGTCGGTGCCCAGAGGTTTTACAAGATTTGAGAAGAGAAGTCCCCCAGTTCTGCAGAATAGACATTTAGGGGAGCTTTGTGCCCAGTTGTGATGAGCGGCACTTCTCCGGGACCTTCAGGAACCCCCCCCCCCCCATATGACTCTTTTTGAGTTGCCTTACACCTTCGGTTAGTGTACAGTCAGTGTGGGTGTCTGCAATCCTAACTTCCTCCTTCCTTAGGCTTGAGAAGGTGGAGGACAGTCTGGCTTCAGGTATTTCTGCAGTCAGCAGAACCCTTCGTGAGTGATTGCTAAATGAAGTCAGGTTATACAATGGTGCAGCATTGTTTGCTTTGTAAATTTTCTCAGGCTATGCACTGGAATCCTGGTTAACAGCTAAGCCTTCCATGGATTGCTCAAGGTTCTATATAGTCAGCCACTGACATATACATCATCAGGAAACAGGTCTGGTCTTTAGTAGAGTCCTTTAGGAGGACTTACAGCCATGACCCAAAGCCTGACTCACAACTGGGCACTGGGGCAGCTTGAAGAACAAAGACCAATCATGGCAGCCAACTGGTGCTATCTTGCTATTCAACTACCAAGTCCCCACATGAACTGAGGGTATCCCCTTCCCCCCGAAGACACTGAGAAGCTAGGCCTAATGTGTCCAAGGCACACTGGTCCCCTTGCTGTTCAAATGACAATGGTGCCCACTCTCTTTCTCAGCCTCAAAACACAACTGCTATCTTAAGTATATATGCTACCACTTCACTCACGAATTTTGATGTCTTGGGTACAAAAATTCATTCCAAACTGGGTGCTAGTGGCAATGTAGAGCGCTTGGCATGGCCCTGGCTATGCTCTCATGGGCTTTGGGAAGAGTTCTAGGTGTAGAACTCACAACCCGTCTGCTGATCATGACTTGCTTCTGGGATTCCTAGATGCACAGACAAGTCGGGTCCTCTGCAAAGGCTTCACTTTGCGGGCCAGTTATGACTTCACAACAGATAGCCTGGGCATCTATCTCTGCAAAAGAAAATACTTCTTCCCTTCCTTTACCAGTGAGGAGCACTGTGGGTAATTTGGACTTAAATAAATACAGGAGCAGGACATTGAACACATATAAACACATCCTTGCTCTATATATCAGATAGGAAGTGGTAAGCCAGTTTTTCCGCAAGATAACCATTAACTGGTTAGACACCAGAGGACAAAAAGCAATCTTACCTATAAGGCCAATATACACGGGGGAAAAAAATGAAAGAAACTGTGGCTGCTTGCCTCTTAGAAGCTCCAAAGTTAAGACAGAGCTCAGAGCTCAGAACTCAGAGCTCAGAGCCCAGAGGGAGGGCTGGACCAAGACTGCAGGCGGCCTGAGTAGGCAGTGGCAGCTAAGAAGCAACTCCCTTAATTATTCCTGGAGTCGCAGATGCAGGCAACGCCCTCTCGCCAGCATGGTTACCTTTCTCTTCACGTCTTCAAGTTCCTCGGCCTCTCTTTGCCAGACGGTTTTCATGTCAAAGTCAAAGGGGCCTCGTCTGGACTCATAGCTGCCATTGGCCTGACCAGGGTTGAATTCTTCATACACCATGTAATCTGGCATGGAGACCACGGGGACTCTGCAAGGACACACAGGACAAGAGACAGCCTGGCACCTGGCCCCAGTTCATGCTCTCTCTCTCTCTCTCTCCTCTTTCTTTTTATTCTTCCTTCCTCTCTTCCTCCCTCTATCCTCTCTCTCCTTTTTCATTTCCTTCCTATCTCCCCACTCTTCCCCACATCCCTTTTTCTCAACCCTCTGGTTCATCATCTCTCTACTTCCCCATCTTCCTGGAAAACAAAGGTAGGCCTGTTCCTCTTCCTACTGAATAAACACATCGGCCCCTCCCCGAATCGCCCCCAGGATCCTCAAAACAACAAAAGAAATCACAGAGTGGCATTCTAAAGTATGACCGTATAAAACAGATAAATTATAATTATTTCTTGGAGACTAGCATTTACTACTCTGTTCCCTTCAACGAGATAAGTGCCCACAAAACATTTGCCGTTTAACATCATCTACGCTAATAACCACCTGCTGCTCCGTGAGATGGCCAGTTTTAACGTGGGTACAGAAGCATCCAACTGGTCTTCCTACACAATCCACTGGAAAGTGTCAGCTTCAGGGTCACCTGCCCTTCCTCGCCTGTTCCTGCTCTCCCCACCTGATTCCCCCGCCCCCTTTTTTTTTCTGAACTTAACACAAACTCTTAAAAAAACAAAAACAAACAACAGAAACAGGGTTTCATTTTATATCCCTGACTGGCTGGGAGCTCAGAACGTAAACCAGGCTAGTCTTGATCTCAGCTTTGACCTCACAGAAATTCTCCCTCTCTACTGTTCGAATTAAACCTGCAGGTGCTGTTGGCACACTCCTTTAATCCCAGCAATCAGGAGGCAAAGAAAGACAGGCAGATCTCTGAGTTCGAGATTAGCCTGGTCTAATTTCCAGGACAGCCAGGGCCAAACAAAACAAAGCTGTTTGTACCACAAGTCTGTGTACCACAAGTCTAGTGTACAAACCATTCATTTTAAAAAATGGTAGGAGTTTAATATTCACTTGCCAGAAGCATGTACAAGCATAATGTGTTTTTTAATTTTATGTGTTAAAAGTAAAAACAAAGCTAGGATAGTGGTAGCCGCTTATTTCTTCAGCACTTGGAAGACAGAGGCAGAAGGATCATGAGTTTGAGGTCAGTCTGGGCCTCAAATTCTGAGGTTCCAAACAGCCTGTGATCCATTTAAAATATAAAATATCACACCTTTTAATTAAAATACAAAAACAAAGCAGGAAGAGCCAGGATCCTGAAGACAAAAAACAAAACAAAATAACACCCCCGCCCCTACACACACACACACACACACACACACACACACACACACACACACGGGGTGCCCAGGGACAGTCAAGAGACATAGCATACTTCCCGGCAGCATGGAAAGATGTCTGTGCTGGTCCAATCTTTCAGGAAAAAAAACATAAAACAAGACAGGTGGTGGTGGCGCAGGCCTTTAATTCCAGCACTCAGGAAGCAGAGGCAGGCGGATCTCTGTGAGTTCGAGGCCAGCCTGGTCTATAAGAGTTAGTTCCAGGACAGGCACCAAAGCTACAGAGAAACCCTGTCAAAAAAAAAAAAAAAAAGAAAGAAAGAAAGAAAAGAAGACAGAAAGAAAGAAAGATAAAATAAAACAAAAGACAAGTCTCTAAAAAGCAGAAAAATAAATCCTAGAATCAGTTTTTATGCTTCCTCTCAGACCTAGAGAGGCTTCTGAAGGGTCAAGTTTGCATAGCTACAAGTAACAATCATTAGATATTGTAACAGGGTTAAAAGGGGCCCATGGCTCTTCATGTCTATGATCTGTCTGAGACTGAGAGCTGTGTACCTTTCTAGTTGTATGTAGGACTTGTCATCAGCAGTGAGAAGAAGAAAGCTTTGGGGCAGGCAGCTCTGTAATAGGCAAACATGGTCAGGGCCCAGGGGACAAAGAATAAAAACCTAAAACTACTAGCTAGTAAGTGGCCAAAAGAACCACACCCTGAGGTGACTTGGCTCTGTGTCTCCTTGGCTCTGGTTTCCTGGCAGCTTAGGCTACATCTCTCCGAGCATTAGTGATTACATGCACTAGTACTCACGGTGGCCAAGGCACATGCTTTCTGCCAGTAAGATAGCCGTAATGTTCCAGTTCAAACTGAGATTCGTCAAACTTGTTTTTATTTATTTAGCCACAGACATTCCACGGTGAGCATGTGGAGATCAGAGGATAAAATGCTCTTGACTTCTACAGTGTGGGTCCTGGGGAATTGAACTCAGATCGTCAGGCTTGGCAAGCTGCTAAACTATTTTTCTGGCACCAATATTGTATGCATATTTAGAGAGATGTGGAGACTTAGAGATACTTACTGTCGCTGGTGGGCTGTCGGAGGCTTGCTGTGGTGGATATACCAGTCTGGCAGGGAGTAGGCTACTGGGGAGCCCTTTCTGGTCCCAGGGGCAAAGTGCTGCAGCAAATCTGAAAGAGAAAAGGGACACCGTTATATGTGGTCCTGCTGCCCACAGGACGTGTGGCATTACCAACACTCCACACTGGGAGCTGGGACATCTTCTCTAGGATGGCCTCTACACAGGCTGAGAGCTGAGTGTCCTGCTTGGTCCTCAGACAGACATCCCTCATGCACCCTCCACCTCTCATGCCCTCTCCTCTTGAGTGTGCACAAAGCTCCTGGTCCTGAGCTGGCATCCGTGCCATTTGCCATCACTACCCCATCTGGGGTTCATCTCTCCACTTCCGAGATCTCGAGGGGCTGTGCACAATGCTCCTCAGCCTTCAGCTACCTCCATGCCCCTCTCTATCTTGTAGCAGTCTGACCAGCATGGTCCCCCAGTGTGGGTCTGCTCCCTCCAGGTTCCCAGATGGGAAGTCCCAGATGGATGCATCAACTTTTGTCGCTACTCAGGGAGGTAGGCAGCACAGGTCCCTTCTCAATTGGCTCCTCTTTCCCCAGTGACTTCCTTCCTCTCATCCTTCCTCTCCCTCCTGTCCACTGGTATCCAAGGGCAGTGAGTGGTAAGAACTGGTTTTGTTAGATAATCCCAGCAGTAAAATAATTCCCAATACCCTTAGCATAGCTATGGTAGCAGCGGAAAGGGTACTGACTTTACCTCTTTAACTTTCCATTTTAAACTTCAAAAACTTCTTGCTGTTAAGATTTTCAGACTTACAGACAAATGGAAGGAATGGTGGGAATTCTTCTACACTCCTAGCCCAGACTCTCCATGCATATCCTGCCTGCTCCGTATCTTTTTCCTTCTCTCCCTTGTGTCCCATTGTCATCAGAATCGCCACAGAGCTCCGCCCTGTTTGAATGGCGTGTTGCAGGCAGGTTTGCCTCTTCGCCCTCTGTGCCTTCGCCGCTGCACACAGAAGCTAGTCCTCACAGAATCACAGCACAGAGAAGACTGTCACTGTATCACTGATGACCCCCATCTGATTTTTGCTAGTCTCTTTGAACCAAGAGCAACGAGGTGGGATCTAAGAAAAGGTTGCCTTGATGCTGCACCATCTGCTCGTGGCAGAGTCAGTCAAGTGGTATGGTCTAGGTTTGGAACTCTCAAGCATAGGCTTGGCCTCCATTTCACCTATGATATTCAGTGTAGGGACAGGGGTGGCCAGAGGGAAGATAGAAAAACTTTAGTCTCTCTCAGTACTGGGTGCTCCGAAGCCTAGTTGGGACATTTGTCCCTTAACCTCTGATCAGTGATTTTTTAATTAAACTCAATATGTCTTTTTTGTGTGCTTCTACAAAAGTTGATTTTCATCGAAGACTATACATACCAGTGTTCTCAACGAGCCCAAGTTTCTAAAGGCTTGAACAAAGCACACAGTTATCACAGTTGTAGTTCATGTGCACAAGTTCAGAAACACCTTTGTCTCGGCTCACAGAGCCACTAAGTTCACAAGGCTTACCAGGTCTGCCGCCTTGCTTGGCCAGTTTCACATACTCTGAGTCTGTTTCTTTTATCCAGTATCTCCGAGCACGGGGCATGTTTCCATTTGGGGTGTCTCCCAAGTCACTGAGCCCTGGGATCTGGGATGGGGGTGGGGCACCCACAGCCTTCTCAGAGCGCTTCACAGGTAGGTGGTAGTACCAGTCTAGACAGGAGGGAGACCAGCACGTAGTTAGATGGGATTGGGGGACAGGAGGCCCTCTACTGCCTGACAGTGTTTCTGTGTGCATATCACATATGGACCAGGCAGTACATGGCACAGAACACACAAACAGAGAAACAATTGCTGGCTCTGGAACATGTGTGACAAATCAGGACACCACCAGAGCAAACTAGAAGACAACTAATTTTCCAGAGTCCCCAACCACATCAGTTACTGAGGCAAATAGAAGGAACATCACCTCCTTCCTGCTCCCTGCCCTCTTCCCAAAGCCTCTTCCATTGTTTCATTAATTCTAGAAGCTGGCCAAAACCCCTATGTCTGTCTTCTTCCCTCCCTCTCCCCTTCTTGCCCTCCATACCCCAGAAAAAAAATGTTTAGCCATATTCCTGGTAATGTTGGGATACATGCAGACTTAAATAAATACCAAATCATTTATATCATTTAAATCCTTATGGATAAACCAGATACTGGGCCAGGATTTGATAGTTGATTCACACATTAAAATACTAATATTTTAATTCTGTCACAGACAACAATCTGATCAAACTTGTTTGTCACTTTTACAAGAGCTGTATGTAGGAAGTAGGCCAGGGTGTGGCCCAAGAAGCTTCACTTGCTTAACAGCGGTGTGGGAAGCCAACATCTGCCTCCTACACCCTTCAGGAGCCAGACAACCCTATGTCCCATTCACTAGGCTGGAGCAATCACCTTTATACAAAACCTCCTCAAGCATAAGTCTTCAAAGGTCTTCCGGGGAAAGACAGAGGGGAAATGGTGGGTGTAGACTCTGTGACTTCTATCCTAAAAAGAGAACTATGGGACAATTCATATGGAGTAAGGAGAGGAATATGGGCAGCTTGTCCCTCCTTCCTCCCCAGGGTGACAGCAAGCCTCTGCAGACAGGGGGAGGAGTTGAGCATGGCCTGGTGAAATGAAGACACTCCCTAGACCCTGAGCTGATAGACTACAGGGGAGATCCCCCAAGTTGACATGGAAACACCCATAAGACCCCCGGAGACATTCAGTACCAGAGTATGAGCGTCTCTCAAGGGACAGATGGATTAGCAGAATCTCAAAGTCCTGGAGATACTAGTGCTGATATATAATCACACACACACACACACACACACACACACACACACACACACACACTACACACATACAGATGGGGGAGAAACAGGGCATAGGAAAGTCTGCGTCAAAAATCAACCAGATGCTAAAATACAAAGAAGTAAAAAATATATATATATCATCCCATCAATGGAAAAATTGGAAAACAAAGACTTGGGAACAGTAAAAAACAACAACAAAAACAAAAACAAAATCTGTGGCGTGAATGCTGGCTGTGTTTCATGGCACTTGCCAGACTCATGGCATTCAGAGTCAAAGACAGAGACTGATCCTTTATGGCAGTGTGACGGCAAACTTCAGTGTCTGTCTGACTCAGCCACAGTATCCAGACTTGGTACAGGTACTACCCCTGTTGCTTTTGTGGAGGTATTTTTAGGATGGGAACTATCACTTACACTTACATCAGAGGACTTAGAGTAAAGCTAACGATCCTTACAACAGACCGAGTCTCCTTCGTTCAGTGGCATCTTAAGAAAAACCAAGGAGAGGGACTTCTGCCTCCAGGAGGACTTTGAACTTGATCTGCAGCCTCAGCTCTTCCCTTGCTCTCCAGCCTGCCCTGCAGATTCTGTACTCATGGACCCCACAAGCTAGGGAGCCAATGCCTACAAGAGATCGCTCCCCTTTCACAGGTAGGTGGGTAGCTGATTAGTCATGCTGCTCTCAGAGTCAGGGCACAGGGAAAAAGCACTGAATAAGCTAGAATAAACACAGAAGCAAGAAGTCGCTGTTCTCTGATGCTAAATGCGCACTGCCAGTTTTTTCTTAGAACTAAAGTTGGACTTGCTGCCTAAAAAAGAAGGCTATTTTACCTAGAAGCTTTAAATGTCTAAAGGATACTTATTAGCTGAGTCAGCATGATCTAGTTTCAAAGATTTGCACATAGGATTCCAGAAGAGTCAGAATTCAGCTCGGCTCCTTGTTTCTTCTTTTATTTTTTATTTATTTTTTTTGGGGGGGGGGGGTTTCAAGACAGGGTTTCTCTGTGGTTTTGGAGCCTGTCCTGGAACTAGTTCTTGTAGACCAGGCTGGTCTCGAACTCACAGAGATCCGCCTGCCTCTGTCTCCCAAGTGCTGGGATTAAAGGCGTGCGCCACCACCGCCCGGCTCTTGTTTCTTCTTTTAGAGGAAAGCCATTTGGTTCTTGCCTCTCTCTCTCTCTCTCTCTCTCTCTCTCTCTCTCTCTCTCTCTGTTGATTACTAATTAATCCACAGAGAACAGTGTATTTTCTGCCATCTCATTACTGCGAGCTTTGGATAGACGCTGAGCAGACTAAGGCATTTGTGAACGTGCACACGGGGGCAGCTCAGAGATCTTGGGTCCCATCAGTAAGGACAAACCACCGCTACCACTAGCACACGCATGTAGGAGCTAAAGGGGACACAGAGGTATCTTTTGAGCTTTTATCACTACAGATTGTTTGTACCCGTGTGACACCAGATCAACCACTGGCTGACTGCTTTTTTCTCTACAGTTTGTCCATTTAATGATGTGCCCTTATTTTTTACTTGTTTTCCAAATAAGGAAACAGAGGTCATAAGAGAGAGTGGGTCAAACTATAAATTGTCCCCATTTCTGGCCTCTAAACTACAGGTAACATGATATATACGCACATACCAATAGGGGTACAGGCTTTTCTTTTTAGGTTGTATGGTCTCGGAGAAAAAGCCATTTTCGCGGGTCTACTTATTCCAAGGGCAGCTTACTTCCAACTCACAATGCCTCATTTTTCTGCTCTCTAAAATGGGGTGATAATTTCTGGTGGGGTGCTATAAGTTACATGTGTTAGTGTACAATGGCTTTGCCAAATACACCTGGCTTTGAATATCTACAGCATGGTTCACACTTCCTAGGACACGGAGAAGACACAGGAAGGTTACAGAAGCCTGGGACGGGGTAAGAACTGTTTCCAGCCCACCCCAGTTCTCAGATGACTGTCACCAACAAGGACATGGGCTAGCATACTTATAGAGGTTGGGGAAAGGTCACACTCTCATTCTCTCCAGATGAGATGGCTCCAGCTGCCCCCCCCCCCCAGATGAACACCAGACCCTCTTTACTCTCTCCTGTCCCCAACCCTTCTCTAGACACAGAGAAAACAAGAGAAAAGTGATATCAGTGTCAGGAAACGTCTTCCTTCCCTATTGGGCTTCAAAACTGATGCACACAACCTAACAACCTTCAATCAATTCAGCTTTCCGGGATCCAGATGCTGAAAGCGGGAGACATTTGTCTTGGTTGGGGTCTAAATTAGGAAAGCTAGGAAGTCAGTAATATACCTGGTGGATGCTGTCAAAAATGAAACTTTCTCAGGCAACAGCTCGGGTCAAGATGTGAGAGTTAGGAGGGTTAACTTGCTACAAAATGAATTTCGATGAGCGCCTGCACTCGGCACTAAAAAGGGAGGTAGCACTGTTGCCTAGCATGGAAAGGTCCTGGTTTCAACCCTAGCACCGAAACAGAAAAAGTCGAGGCACCTATGCTTCCTACTTTATCACCCCATCCCTCCCACCCATCCTTCCTCACCGCAGGGAGCGTAGCGGTGAGAGGTGCTCTGCACCTCCTTGCTCGTGTTCCTCATGGCCTGGTGCACGTTCTCGTCCGGGAGAGAAAGGAGCTGCTGAGTCTGGATTCTCCGGGTATCTGGGCTCTGCAGACCCGCCCGCTGAGAGCAGAGGCTACAGGGGCAAAGTCAGCACGCTCGTGGTTCCGCCCGTCTCCAGCTGACACACCTGCAGACGTCTCACGCCCAAGAGCCGGCACATCCACAGCGAGCACACCGCAGCGCCGCGTCCACGCTGAACACCCAGCAGGGACACATGCAACAGAGTATTCAGCCCGGGCGCATTCGGTAGGTACACTGCAGGGGTAGACAGCACCAAGCACGTTAAGCGGGATAAACAGCAAGGGCACGTGCACGCCAGGTAGACAGCAGGAGTATACCAAGTGTCCTATAGGTCATCACGGGCCGCAGAGTTTAGCAGGCTTTGAAGTCACCACGGGGCTCCGGGCTTTCAGGATCTAGGGTTTACAGTCCATTTGCAGTTGAAGTTCGTGTCGGGAGGGCTGGCTCCCAGACCGACTCCAAACTCCAAGAGAGTTGCGGAACCACAGCAGCACGCGTCGCTAGGGCAACGGCCGGGCAGCCAACCAGAGTGTGCGGCGCATGTGCCCAGAGCTAATGGGAGCAGAGCGCAGGAACCACTTGTCAACCGCCCTCGGCCTCCCCTTGCGAGATGGGGCGGGATATGAGGGCGGGGCCAGCCCTAAAAACTCCTACAGCAGCGACTCCGCCCCAAACTCCCTACTGGAACCCTACTTAGCTAGAAGCATCTACCACATTTTCTAGGCAAAAGTCAAAAAAAAAAAAAAGAAGAAAGAAAGGAAGGGAAGGAGAGAGGGAGGGAGGAAAAAGAAAAGGGAAAAGAAAAGAAAGCTTTATAATCCCAACACTTTGGTGGGATGTTGAGGCAGGAGTATGAAGAGTTCAAGGTCATCTTGGGCTTCATACTGAGTTCTAGAAATTGGCATGTGAGTGAGTTAAGTGCATTCAAGAAACACTGTCAAATACTTGGGACACTTAGATAATAGAAACTTCTGCAGCTTGGGTCAATATTCAAATTATTGCACAAAATACCCTTTGTCTTCTTGGCGAGGAATATTTGTTTCTAAGCCAAGATGTCTGTTTTTAGAGCGTTCTTAACCCTGCTTCTACTGCAAAGAGTTTCGAGCTACAAATTTTGGCCTCGTGCTTATCCTGAAGGCTTCACACCTCTCTGACCAAATATTAGACACAGCCATTCACTTTCAATTCCTGAATAGGTTAAGGATAAATTATTAAAACTAAGAAATCCTATTGACAGCTGAGCGTGGTTCCCAACTTGCTAAATTTTTCTTTAAAATTCAAATACCAATCTTTTCTGAAATGGTGGGTATTTGACAATTTGATCTAACTGATGTGCTGTTTCCGTTAGACAAGTAAAGCCTTAGAAATCTAGCAGAAGGCAGATAATGTATGACTGGGTGAGGAGGTAGGTAGGTGAGTGTGTGTGTGTGTGTGTGTGTATGTGTGTGTAGGTAGGTGTATGTTTATGTGTGTGTGTAGGTAGGTGTATGTGTATGTGTGTGTAGGTAGGTGTATGTTTATGTGTGTGTGTGTAGGTAGGTGTATTGTATGTGTGTGTAGGTAGGTGTATGTTTATGTGTGTGTGTAGGTAGGTGTGTGTGTGTGTAGGTAGGTGTATGTGTATGTGTGTGTAGGTAGGTGTATGTGTATGTGTGTGTAGGTAGGTGTATGTTTATGTGTGTGTGTAGATAGGGGTGTGTGTATGTGTGTGTGTAGGTGTATGTGTATGTAGGTAGGTGTATATTTATGTGTGTGTGTAGGTAGGGGTGTGTGTGTAGGTAGGTAGGGGTGTGTGTGTGTGTGAGAGAGAGAGAGAGAGAGAGAGAGAGAGAGAGAGAGAGAGAGAGAGAGTTTAGCCTCTGGCTGTGCTCCATCCAGCACATTATGATAGATCTCAGATATTCAGCTTGCCTGGTCACATAGTATCAGACCTTTATACTGAAGAGCAGTGTCTTTGTCCCACAGTCTATAGGTACTTAGCTTATCACCACACACGAGTGCTTCCATTCCTGGAAGTCACACAGTCACCTGACCAGAGGCTCATAAGATCAAGAGAGGTTATTTTTAAAAACAGCTGATCGTAGTAACTGGCGCGGGGGTGACTAACGCATGCCTTTCTGATTCCCAACCGGGTTAATAGAAGATCTTGGCATTTTCCCAAGTTGAAATCATGAGCTGAGCAATGATGAAGGGCGCTAATGCCTGAAAAGGCAGCTTTGACCTTTGCTCTATTATTGAACTGAAGGAATCTGCAGGAGCCGTATCGGTAAGAGTCTGGGCACATGCAAATGAAAACTGACTCAGAATTAGCCTGTTTGTACAGAGACACCTCAGTGTCTTTATTTCCTAAGTTTCCTCACATGTGTCTCTGTCATAGAATGGCTTCAGAAGCATGGGATATCCCTTGCCACGCAATCTCACATTATACTCTTTTTATCTATCCTTGTTGCTAGACGTCTGTAGATATTTCCCTGCTTATAAGCACTTTGAGAAAAGGAAAAAAACTCATATATGCAAATTCCAAAGTTCCAAAGCCTCTGGCCCTTCCTTCTGTCTCCGTTGGTTCACCCTCATTGAATGCAGCTGTGTCTTCAAACCAGCCAGACTTTCCATCTTTCCAATTCTTTGCATCCTTGCTACCAACTACTCCCAATAGGGAGCTCACAGGCATAGGTGTGAGCCCCTTCCCTACCCTTCGTTCCTGCTGTAGACTCCACCTCTCCTTTGATCAGGCAAAAAAAAAAAAAATAGCACATTTTACAAACCAAGATGCTTTAATTTCTTGTTTTCTTTTCAGTGACAGTTGAACTAATCTGAAGGTCAAAGTCTTCTTTTTGACATATTTTTATGCCATATAGTAGTTGGGGTTGTCAACCTTATCAGAAAAACAAGGGGATCGTGTCCATAGCTAACATCAAGAGAAGCCCAATTCTGTAAACACTTTCTCTGCTGCCCTCTTCGCAAGAAAAAATTGGGATATTTTGATGTTTCAATGATGAGCTATAACTAACACGAGTTTTATATGTGTGAGTTATACAATTTGGCGTTCAATACATGTGTACATTGAGAAATGGTTATCCCAACCAAACTAGTTACCATGTTCATAACCTTTCATTCGTCATTTTAGTGTGGGGTGGGGAAGGAACTCTTACCTTCTAGCCTTTCAATGGATTCCAGGCAGAATGCTTAGCAACAATCAAGTGCCACATTCTGGCTCCTCCTGGTTCATAGTCTTAGAGCTGTCTCGGACTGTGTTTGACAGCCTCTCTGGATTCCTGGGTGGCCCAACCCCTCAGTCACTGGTCTCTACGGCTCTGCTTTCTGCTTCTGTAACTCAGACGCTCTGCATTCCACACGGGAAGTTGTAGAGTGCGCCCTGCGTCTTACTCATTTCACTTAGAAGATTGTCCACTGGGTTCATCTATGTTGTCACACACGACTTGATTACCTACTTTTTATGGCTCTGTGTGTGTGTATGTTCTTTTGCAGCCATGTGCTATGATTTCTTTCCCATCATTTCTTTATTCGAGTTTTCCTTCTGTGTGTGGTAACTGGGAAGCTTACATAAAACCCTGTGCACTTGCACTTTTCCCTGACATCTTTTTACATACTCCAGTTGCTTTGATTGCCCGCCATCCTTCCAGAGTTACTGTATTCAGAGATCACCTCCAAATGTTTACCACGGAGTTTCCCCATCTGCATGCTAGTACCTACCTCCCAGACATTTAAACTTGAATAATCACCTTTTAAGATATGTCTTACAAGTCATGGCCAGCACTGATGGCCCTCTCTGCTTTGTTTCTGATAATGTGTTTGTCTCACTTATTTCTTTTTAAGATTATTTCAATTTCATAAGTGCTTCAGTCTTTTGTCTACATGTAAGTATGTGCATTGCATGAACAAAGAAGCCCTGAGAGGCTGTGGTTCTCAACCTTCCTAATGCTGTGACCTTTTATTACAGTTCCTTATGTTGTGGTGACCCCCCAACCGTAAATTTACTTCGCAGCTACTTCATAGCTGTAATTTTGCTAGTGTTATGAATTGTAATGTAATTATCTGATGTAGAAGATACCTGATCTGCAACCTCCGAAGGATTTGCAGCTCACGGGTTAGGAACCATTGGGTGAGAAGAATGTGTTCGCTTCCCTGGAACTGGAATTACAGGCAGTTTCTAGCCAGCACGTGAGCGCTGAGAACTGAACCCAGGCCCACTGCAAGAGCTGCAGGCGTTGTGGGCTGCTGAGCCATCTCTCCAGCCTGCCTCACTTATTCTTGAGGGACAGCTTCTCCAGGTTTGCTTTGCTGGGTGACAGTTTTGTTTTTCCTTCAGAATTCTGAGCTCGCCGTCTCCCCCACTTTAGTTTCTGTTGAAGGTCTGTGTTACGTGACAAGAGATTTCTCTTAGTGCTTTGAAAACTCTGTGTCTTTTGACGGTTTGGTTGCAGCATCTCTAGGCTGTTGAGGGGGACCATGCCGGCAGTGATCCGAGAAGAGATGAGAGGGAAAACCAGTTCAGATTGACTTCATCAACCTGGATCAGCCTGCGGGGGAATCTAATGCCGGGCGGCTCCTTGTCAGCGTATTTCAAACACAGTACAATCTGGGAAGAGGTTTCCAGGCAACAAGCATTCCAATTCCAGGTGCACAGTAGAGCTTAAGTTATGACTACATAGAAACTCCTTTACAACGTACACGTGACTGTGAGGGTGGATTCTGCAGCTAAAAGGCCTAGTGTGGTCTCTGATCAAGATAGCGTAGAGGCCAGCAGGCTATGAAGTACATTTGAACTCTCTCCTAAGGATGGGTAACGGTCTAGAGAGGCAAGAATCTGGGACAAGCATTCTGGGGGATTTGGGTGAGGTTTGCCTGTTTAGCAAAGGGAAGGTGACATCTGCTGCCACAAAGAGCAAAAAGGTCACCAGGTAATTAACAATATCCACTTCCAGCTTTCTGGGCAAGAAAACAGGTATTTCTATCTTCCCCATTGAGAAGAGGCCATGTGTTTAACCTTTCTCGTTTCCCTAGTGATCTGTGGGTGCAAGGATCTTTGAGCCCTCAACAGGAAGCATTTGGGGGGGATCAATCTTACTTGATCTTGCAGCATCACAAATCTAACTGCCAAGGTTACTGCCAAGATACAGAGAATTGCCTACTTGTGTTTATTTAAATAATCTTTCTCTTTTCTCCTTTGTCACACTCATCTCTCGCCTGCTCATGTGTGTGCTGTTTTGTAGGTTTTTACTTGGTTTCCTCATCATTTTTATTCTTATATCGCCTCAAAAGGATTAATTTCAAAAAGAATATTTTTCTTCTTGTTATTTATTTTTTAGTTTTATTTTTTATAGATTATTATTAGTGCGAATGTGTGTTAGTGCACACAACACACTGTGTGTGTAGAGGCCAGAGGACATTTTTCAGAAGTCAGTTTTCTCTTTCCACCTCATCAGGCTTCATAGATCTAAGTCAGGCCAGAGGGTTTGCAAGGTAGGCATGTTCCCCCACTGAGCCAGCTTTCTGGGTGCCAAGGGGAATGTCTCCAATTTATCGATTCTTTCTTCAGATTACTGAATCTGTTTCCATGACTCTCTAAGGAAAAATTTCAGGCTGTAACGGTAAGTTTGAATCAAGGCTGTCTGGTCATTTGTCACTGTGCTGATTTTATCTAACATCTTGTTTTGCTCGGGTGTTACTGTTCCGACTTTGTCTTGTTATCTGTGTTCTCCAGCCCTTCACCCGACTTCTCTAAACTCTTTATCATTTTTTTTTAAGCAGGCAATTAGTAGATCTCAGTTTCCTTGGGGTCATTCCCTGAACCATATTTTTTTCTGATGGTATCCTGCTTGCCTAATTCTTTGTCATCCCTGTAGACGTGAAAGTCTGTGCATCTGATGGAACAATCGCATCCCCAGTCTTCACAGACTGATTTCAGTTGGCAAAGACCTCATCCTGTTGTGTCTTCGGGCTGATAGAGAAGAGTCTAGAGCAGGTTTCAAGCAACTTGGCTGCTGCTGTCTTCCATTGTATAATCTGCAGCTAGAGACTAAGGCATGCCAGGCACTGCGTTAGAAAGCCTCCAGCACACAGATTAATGGGGTTGGCACTGTGGAGAACCAAGTTTAAGATTCACAGTGGTATCTTTAGACACAGGTCTATTATTCAGTACATAAGAAGATACAGGTCCTATGCGGTCTGCAGAGGATTTCTCTGTTTTACTAAGAGGGTCCCTGAGGCCGCCTCTGCTGTCACTTAGGCACAAGTGAAGAAGACTGGGAACCAAGCCAGAGAGCCGCTTCAGAGCCAATAGCTAGGGCTAACGTCAGCAGGCCTGACTCTAGGAGTAAGATGGACTCATTTCGTAAACGGTTCCTGGGTGGCTGTAACAATTGCTCTTGTAGCTCTTTTCACAGACTGAAGCAAAATGACAGACATGTGTCAGGATCTTCCATAACATAAAGAGCAGTGGGACTTTCTCTTGGGAGACGGATGGACACGTCTCCTGCCGGGTATCTGGATAGATAACCCAGATCATAGCTACCGCATTCCAGATCCTGTGTTACAGAGATGCTTCGGGATCTGCTGTTGGGTGATTGACATGCTTGCCCCAGGCCAAGATGATGGGTGCGTCTCCCCCTACAATCTCTGTGTGGCCAGGACTACCAGGACTGTTTCCAGGCTATGTGATTTGGGGGAGGGGCTCTAACTTGGTCCCATTTACAGGTGGAACTAAGGACAGTATGTGTGCCATCAAGGCTAAAGTGGGAAAAGTAATTTCTGGGTCTTCAACTGGGGCCACAGTAAGTAATTCTGCCACTGGGCAGAAGGAGTCTTCCATCTTACAATATCCCTCTTCAGTCCAGGATTCTGCTGGTACCTCAAAACTCCCCGCCCCCCGATCTTAAAGCTAACATGAAAGCACCATTATCCATAATGTCCACCAAAATTACAAGCACTGGGGATACAAGCAGGAGACATTTTTCTTGAGTCAGCTTGCTGGCACTGCTCCAAAAACTTCACATTTTAAAAAATATAGGACTGAGTCCATTAGGTGTTAAAAGTAAAGTAATTGGTCACCCTAGAATTATATGGTCCAAAGAAGCCAGGTCTTCCTTGCAGCAATTCGGTTTCTAGACTGTGACTAAAATGCACTTTGGTGTGCAAGCAGAAACAGGCAGTGCACATGGATTTTGTCCCTGAAAATAAAGTAAGCATGCATCTGTGGAAGAATGAGTGAATGAATTGCTGTATAATAAAATACAGGTAGAACGACTGGGTTAAGCCATCTCAGGACATATGAAATTGAAACATAACGTAGGATATCATTTATTTTGTCTAATATGTATATTTGTAACACATTTTTAAAAATTACGTGGAAATACAGTATTAATTTTAAGTTAGTGACCTACAGGGGAAAATGAGAGGAATGAGACTGGGGGAATCGGGCCTTACATTGTGTTTCTGATATCTTTGAGTATTGAAACGAACATATCTGTTATAGGGGAGGCTGATCGTTGGTTTCCCCAGCTTGCTTAGGCCTGAAATAACCACACAGAAACTGTATTAATTAAATCACTGCTTAACACATTAGCTCTACCTTCTTATTGGCTGACTCTTACATATTAATGTAACCAATTTCTATTAATCTGTATTTCGCTACGAGGTTGTGGCCTACCAGCAAAGTTTCAACACATCTATCTCCAGCAGCCAGCTCCATGGCATCTCTCTCTCTCTCCCTCCGTCTTCCTTCTCCCAGCATTCAGTCCAGTTTTCCCTGCCTACCTAAGCTCTGCCCTATCAACAGGCCAAGGCAGTTTCTTTATTCACTAACCAATAAAAGTAACACATAGACAGAAGAACCTCCCACACCACATATCAAAGCAGCCAGGGTTTTTGGAGCAAAGCAATAGATGCACAGAAGATCTTTACATTGTTCATTAGGTTTGCATCTGATACAGCAAGGCATCAGAGACTCAGAGAAGCTTATGAGCACACAATCCCAGCCTGGGTGTGGTGATGACCTGCTGGCCATTGTGAGGTGTCGCAAAGAATGACGCCATAGTGAGTCACTGGACTTTTCAAAATGTGCTCCCTCCCAGTTTGGCTCTTGGAAAAGGCGTATCTGTGAAGAAGACGTGCATCCAAAACCATACGCATGGCTTGCGGCTTTCTGTAAAATAGGGATGAGAAAACAGTGCTCACCGTGCTAGGAGCTCTTCGTGACTTGTGGGAGGAAATGCATGAAAGAAAAAAGCAGAGGAAGGATGAGCAGCCCTTTCAGCATTGTTCTTATTTTTTTTTGACTAATAAATGTTTATTCATCTATTTTTTTAAATAAAGAAAGAAATGGCTTCTTCCGCCTTCTAATATGTATTTATACTAGGGGATTCCAGGGATGCTTCCAGGCTTTCGTAGTTGAATGAGTCTGGGGTTCTCACAGTGAGCAGCTACTGGATTCTCTGGTTCGTCAGAATTATGGCCTATCATTATAGCTCTTCAGCAATGCTGGACTATCCAGCCTCCAACTGTGTAAGCCGATCTAATGTTTCTTGATTCACATCTGTATAGATGCATACGTATACACAGAAACATGCCCACACACCCCCAACACACTATTGGTTCTGTTCCTCGACAGAAATCTGACAAACTTTCTCTGTTTTGTTTTGTTTCTTTTCTTCTCTAGTTTGAATACAATATGCATGACTTCCTTGTTCTGTTTTATTTTGTTTGTTTTAATTTTTTGGCATTTGTTCTAGTAAATGTATTCTGAGATTCAATTTAAAAAAAAAGAAACAATGAATAGAAATGACTTTAAGGAAAAGTGAGAGGACCTGAAGGAGAAGAAAATTTACTTCCCATTTTATTCCTTTGCACATAATTTTTAATTATTTTAATAATGTCATGTATTACTTTTTTATTGATTTTTATTGAGCACTACATTTTTCTCTGCTTCCCTCCCTGCCTCTCCCCTCTCCTTTAACCCTCCCCCAAGGTCCCCATGCTCCCAATTTACTCAGGAGATCTTGTCTTTTTCTACTTCCCATGTAGATTAGATTTATGTAAGTCTCTCTTAGTGTCCTCAGTGTTGTCTAAGTTGTCTGAAATTATGGAAAACCGCCTATGAGTGAGTACATTGGATAATTGTCTTTCTGGATCTGGGTTACCTCACTCAAAATAATGTTTTCTAGCTCCATCCATTTTCCTGCAAAATTCAAGATGTGTCGTACTCCATTGTGTAAATGTACCATATTTTCCTTATCGATTCTTCAGTCAAGAAACATTTAGGTTGCTTCCAGGTTCTGGCTATGACAAGCAATGCTGCTATGAACATGGTTAAGCACATGTCCTTATGGCATGATTAGGCATCCTTTGGATATATACCCAAAAGTGGTATTACTGGGTCTTGAGGAAGGTTGTTTCCTAATTTTCTGAGAAATCACCACACTGACATGCAAAGGGGCTGTACCACCAGCAGAGCAGGAGTGTTCTTTTTTTTCCAAAACCTCTCCAGCATAAGTTGTCATCAGTGTTTTTGATCTTGGCCATTCTTACAGGTGTAAGATGGAATCTCAGAGTTGTTTTGATTTGCATTTCCCTGATGACTAAGGATGTTGAACATTTCCTTAAGTGTCTTTCAGTCATTTTAGATTCCTCTGTTGAGAGTTCTCCATTTTTTTTTTTTTGAAGAACCCAGCAGCAGTCCGAGTGTTAATATTCTGTTGTCAGGGTAAGAACCCTGAACATGAACCTGTATGTCAGTTTGCAGAATGATTTCCATACACCTGCTCTTTTCTGGTTTTGGAGGTGCCTTCATACCATAGCTCAGGCTGGCCTTAAAGTTATAGCTGTCCTCCTACCCTAAATGCTGAAATTATAGACATCCACCAGCAACCCCTGCTGAGCTCTACTGTGTATGCTGTACGTCTGTGTCCAATCTATCTGTGAAATAACATGGGTGTTATTTCCATTTTCCCCTAAAGCTCACAACCATCGTACTTCCTATGGCACACCAGCCATTTGAAGTTGAATATTAACAGTGGGCCAGGGAAAAGGATTAAGACAGAGGAGTTATGCTTTTTGGAAGAGTGAACTATGGCAGTGGTAACAAATCAAACAGATGACACGGTCTGTGGTCACAGGGCCTTGTCAAGGATCCGGGCTACACCAACCTTAGTGCTGGCCTTTGCACACTAGGCCAGAGAGACGTTTACTGCACCCGCGGGTGAGAACAAACAGCCTGGGGACTGAAGCACCTTGTGTGCTAATAATTGTGTTTCCTCCGGTAAGAAATTTCCCCTAAGGAGAGAGCCCTGTCTAGTGGGTGAGCCAAATATGTTGCCCACCACCTATGACGGGGGCGGGGCTGAAACCTCCTGATAGCCACCATTAATAACTGTGAGAGATCACCTGTGCCAAGCACTGCTGGCCATAAGAGAGAAAGAACACAGTGACCTTGTCAAGAAGAGCAACCTTTAGAATCTTAGTAATGACACATGCTTGCCTTCAGTGACAGAATCTCACAGACTAGTGAAGGGAGAGAATCTCACAAGGCACAACCTGGCAGCCCAGCTTTCCAGTTAGGAACAAAACCCTAAGTTTTAGAAAATCAGGTAGTTTAGTAGTTTTCATGTGATTCAGCCTACCGAAGAATTATAATTAACTCCCACACAACACTCTCTAGAGAGTAAACTGTGCCGCCGCATGGTGTCAAAAAACTCTACCTAGGAGAGGGGTCTCCTAGTAACTTTTAGCACTAAGTTAGCCCTGGCTGCCGCTCAGTGTGATGGAAGAGGGGGAGTCAAGCTGCTTAGGTTCCGTATCCAGGCAATTGAAGTTTCTCTTTGTGAGCTGTGGTTCACAGAGCCCAGCTGTCATCACAGCTGCAAGGAGGATTGGTGAGAGACTCACCTAATACACCCTTTGGTCAACTACCTTGTAATGTAAGTAGTCTGTTTACTCGCAGCAGAACCTAACATAAAAGGAGTGAGTTTTAAAGAGATGAGGGTGTCGACATACAGATTGCATCATTTCCAGATGAGGTCACCCTCTCAGCCCTTCGTCACAGCCCTGACTTTCAGCTGATGGAGTCTAGTTGGGAACTAGCAGATGAGAGACTGAGAGCCACACTGGGGAGTGACTTGACATATTGGGACAGGTGTCCCTGGTCTTTTGTAAGCTCTGACACAGGGCTTCTCCGGATGCATCTACCTGCCAACTACCAGTTACAAATGGTCTATCATTATCTGGTTTTTCTAACTAACCAATTTTCAGCTTGACAACCTGGAACACTTTGTCCAGGCACTTACAGATTCAAGCTCAATTGGCTTTAGCATTCTTTTTTCCTTTAAGGATTTTATTTTTAAAAGGTCGAATTTGGAACTTGGGGTATAACTGAGTGGTAAGGTACTCACCACTTATAGGAATGGTGAGTTTCAACTGCACACCACAGTGTACAGTTCAAGGCACAGGGCTAAGAAAGGGCAGAGAGATGGAGCTGCCCACACATGTGCAGTCACAGAAATACAAAACCAGACAGGATAGATGAGCAGGACAGAGCCCAGAAGAGACACTTTCAGAGTGGAAGCTGTAAACACAGAAGGCTTGTTCATGGATTAGGTAGACTTATCTCTTGGGCCACAGTAAAAAGCCAGAGGCTGGGAAACTAAAAAATGCCATTGATTTTTCTCACAACTCAAAAGCCAAGGAAGATGAAACCTTGACTCCAGTTGACTATGGCTGTGGTGGAGACTCTCTGCCTTTCTTGAAGACAGCAGACACCAGATGTCCAGATGGCGCACGGATAGCAGTCTGGTACCTTCTGGTTGCATAAGGATACCAGTCCTATCAGTTTAGGGACCAGTCTGGTGAACTCATTTAACCTCAGTCATTAGTCATGTAGTATATTCATGGTTGTTGACTTGTAGAAAAACTTTGTTTGCTTAAAAACATTTAAAGACCATAAATAGGGACCCAATAGCATCACAGTACATGTGTGTGGGGGAAGAATGTGAGCATATATGCACATACTCCTTCTTGGAAATTATTTCTGTCCGTTTCAAGGGTCACAGATCAGAAATTAAATAGCTCGCAGAATTCATCTAGAGGAACCAGGAGTGAGACAAATTAAGCTGTTGACTTGGGTGCTCTGATCAGTTTGAAGTCCAAGTTAAAAGTTAATAGCAATGGCTTACATTGCTAAATTCTTAAAGCTCTTCGTTCTTTGTAGGTTAACTCTACCATGGAAGATTATCCTAAGTACAATGTTCACATCAACTTTTCTTCTTTTTGGTAAGTCTTAGAGGTGATGATCCTTAAACTGACTCACTGAGTGTATGGTAACAGAGGGCACAGTGGAATGACTCGTGTTTGACATGTTGGAGGTCACCTGCACATTCTTTCAGCTCCTTTCCCCCTTCCATGTACTGTGCTAAAAATAATATAAGCTTCTTAGAAAATCTATAATGATTAAAAATTAATTTAATTTATTTAAAATTAATTTAAAATAATTACAAATTATTTTCTTGTATTATAGTTTATTTTCTATTTTTTATTTAAAACAGATTTTTGTATATGCTATATTCCAATTATAGTTTCCCCTCCCCCAACTATTCTGGGACCCTTGCTACTTCCCCTCCTTGCAGAATCCATGCCCTATCTCTCTCTAGAAGGAAACAGGCATGGAAAGAATGACAATAAAATAAGAAAAACAAAACAGAATAAGACAAAACAAACTGAAAAGAGGCAAAGAAAAACAGGAGAACATATAGATTCAGAGACACACATGTGCATACCACAATACCAGAAGTCATATTATAGACATATGCAAAAGAACACAAAAATTGCATGGAAGCTGAGAATCCCTAATATGGGGCCAGTGAGTTGACTCAAGTAATAAAGGTCCCTGCTGCCAAGCCTGATGATCTGAGTTTGGTCTCTGAACTCACAAAGTAGAAGGAAAAAATGGACTACATCCAGTTGTCTTCTGCAAGCTCATATAGATAATCAATAGGTGATATAATGGTGGAGGGATGAATGATGGATGATAGGTAGATAGATGATAGATAGATAGATAGATAGATAGATAGATAGATAGATAGAGCAAAAAGGAAAGAATCCCCAATATGTTTCCAAAAGAAACATCTGATATTTTACCTGTTCTAAATTTGAATGACTGAGCTTAGAGATTTTTTTTTCAATTTTTAAAAGCTTTAACCCACATATTAGTTATACATGATAATATGTTTCTTCATAGTATTTTAATACATACATACAATGTTTTAGTTCTATGTAACATGAGGGCCTACTTGTTTGGGTTTCTGTCCTGCCCAGTTCCCACAGTCAGCAAGCCCCCAAAGAAATTACACAGAGGACTATATTAATGATAAACTGATTGGACCATTAGCTCGGGCTTCTTATTAACTCTTATAACTTATATTAGCCCATTATTTTTATCTATGTTAGCCATATGTCTCGGTACCTTTTTCATCAGGGCAAGTCACATCTTCCTTCTGGACAGGACTGCAGAGGAATGGGCTTCCTCCTTCCCAGAATTCTCCTGTTCTCATTGACCCGCCTCTACTTCCTGTCTGGTTGTCCTGCCTCTACTTCCTGCCTGGCTACTAGCCAATCAGTGTTTATTTAAAACATAATTGACAGACTATAGACAATTCTCCCGCACCATGTCCCCCTCTTAAAAAAAAAAAAAGGAAAATATCCATAGTCCATCTTTTGGGAACATGTGCATAGTATTCCAGACTACTTCATGCTGGTTGGGGGCACTGATAATCTTTTGGGAACCTAAAGAAAATTTAGAATTATGATCAAGTCCTGACTGGAGTATCCTGTGAGTCTTGATCATCTCAGGCAGCAGTCTTGAATCTGTTCTAAATGTAGAACTCAGACATCCAGGCCATCTGTTCCTACTGGAGATTTCTCAGGTGGTCTTCTTTGATCAAACCTGATTTTTCTTAACTCAGAATGAATCCTCAGCCTCTCATTTCCTGTGGAAACAAAAGCAAAATCTCCTTTCCAAAGTAACATACCTTTTGACTTCAATTTTGAATTCAAGGTATTTTCAAAATACCTATCTTGGAATTATTTAGCAGCATTTATAAACAAATATCTTTTAGCAGCTGTTGCTCTTTCCTCAGCATTCAAACAATTCAAAGAAAGCATAATAACATACAGTATCCAGATTCTCTGTGTGTTTTCCATTATTATTTGGCTTTACTTTAACCTCTATTTCTTTTATTTTTACTTTTACTTTTTGAGACAGGTTCTCTGTATATCTTTGGCTGTCCTGGATCTCCCTTTGTAGACCAGGCTATCTTTGAAGTCATAGAGATCCACCTGCCTCTGCCTCCCAAGTGCTGCACCACCACACCTTGAATTTACAGAGTTCTGTCTGCCTCTGTCTACCAAGTGTTGAGATTAAAGGTGTGTACCACCACACACAACTACATTCTTTCTTTCTTTTTTATTTTAAGGACTTTAACCTTTAGCCTGCATATATTTTTAACACACTGTAAAACATTTAGAGGTTTTCTTCATCTTTGAATCTCTCTTTACTATCTCTCTCTCTTTTTTTCTGACCACATGAGTCTTTAATTTGCTAAGCAATATGGGTAGGAGTAAAGCTATGGCCTTGATGGCTGGATCCAGCCCATTTCTTAGCTTCCTGAGATTTCAGGCTCATGGCAGAGGTATCAGCCAGAGCCATGTTTATTGCCACAACTCTATGGCATTTCAAGGTCCTTGCCAGCAAACAAGCTGCAACAGTGTGTCCACAAACAACACTTAAATGCTCTCTCTGTAGCCGAACCTCCTGCCTCAAAGAGTCAGAGTTTGCGCTGGCAGGACAGTCCAGAAAGCCTCTATATTCTGTCAGTTATATTTTAAATAAATGCTGCTTGGCCAGTAGACAGGCAGGAAGTATAGGCAGGACAACCAGACAGCAAATAGAGGAGGGTCAATGAGAACAGGAGAATTCTGGGAAGGAGGAAGCCCATTCCTCCCCAGTCCTGTCCAGACACCGAAGAGGGAAGATATGACCTGCTCTACTGAAAGAGATACTGAGCCATGTGGCTAACATATACTAGAATAATGAACTAATATAAATTATAAGAGCTAATACAAAGCCTGAGCTAATGGGCCAATCAGTTTATAACTTATATAGACCTCTGTGTGATTTTCTTTGGGGCTTACCAGCTGTGGGAACTGGACAGGACATAAACTCCAACAAGCAACCCATCATGTTACAGTTCTATTTACCTTAAATTGTAATTACTTCTGAGAATTTTATAAATATATAATGAAATATGACCATATATTTTTCCCATTTTCCCTCTCTAGCCCTCTCATGCCTCACCCCCAACTTATTTTTTGAAAACCACTAAATCCAGTCAGAGCTTCCATATGAAAATAGCTGCAGGCCCATCCTACCACAGGATTATGGGAAACCTACCAGTCCTACTTCCTCAAAACAGAATGATTTTCCCTCCTCCAGCAACCAGTAGCAGCTCAGGAAGGGGTAGAGCCTGTACCCCATCTATGCCAGAGTTTGGTTGGCTTGATCTTGTGTAGGTCTTGTACAGGTAGTCACAACTGCTGTGGGTTCATGGCTGCAAGCCATGTCTGGAAGCCAGCATGTCACAGTGCTTCTCCCCATCCTCCCCATCCTCCCCATCCTCCCCATCCTCCCCATCCTCCAGCTCTTACATTCTTTCTACCTTCTCTTCTTCGACTTTTTCTGAGTCTTTGTGGCAGTGAGATTTACACAAATATTACATTTAGGGCTCAGCACCAGTTCTCTTATCCTCAGTTCTTTGATCAATTAACTATCTCTCCATTGATAGCTCTTAACTACACATTGAAACTTCTCTGACCATGGTTGAGAGCAGCCCAGGTCTTTGGGTGTAAGCATAAAAACATTTAGGAGGCATTTGGACAGCATGACTATTTGGTAAGATAACAATAACACCTTCTACCTAGAGCCCATGATATCCCCAGTCATGGGCTTTTGACTAAGATAGATGTATAAAGGGTATGAAGTTCCTTTCTGTGGAGCAGACCTCCAGTCCAGTGAGAAAGTGACTAGTTACTCCATAGCTGTCAGGCCACTGTTGCTCCAGTAGCCATATCTTGCCTGGCAGGTCAAAATTGCATGGTCTCAACGTTCTTCTCAAGGATATGCTTCCAAAGACCTAACCACCTACGGAGTCACACCTCTTCAACCTTCTACAAACTCCTAGTACTACCAAGTTGAAGACCAAGCCTTTGACACATTAGTCTTTGGGGTATACTTATATAATTATCACATAATCTTTTAAGATACACATTGACGTCTTTATAAAGGCTATAAACTGCTCCTTTGTATTTCCAATTTTTAGCCGGCCAACTTATCAACACATGTGCTGGCTCAAATGTAAACACTTTGCCCACAAATCTCAGGAGAATTTAACTGACCTCTGTTCTTTTTGTTCTCTACTGAGTTGAAGTGATAATTCAGTACTAATGGGTGGAGTGTGTTGGGCAAGCCCTTCCTCTGTCAAAGTACTCATGTAATCAGGCTCCTAAAGGAAATTCTTTGTATACCAAGCCAATAGCTTCCTGTTCTCTCTCTCCTCTACAAGTCTGCATCCTGCCTCTTAGCTCAAATAGATGAAAAAAAATTGGAAATTTTCTTGTATGTTTACTTTCATTAATCCTGTTTGAAGGGCCATCCTTGTTGTAGAGTGTATCACTTCTTTGTTCATTTCTGTGGCTCAACAATATTGCATTGTGGGCATATATACCACATTTTTAAATCCATTTGCCCATTGACGGATATTTGGCCTATTTATACCTTTTGGGTCTTAGAGATAGTACAGGCATGAAAATGTGTATGTGTGTTTGTTTGGACATTTATTTTAGATTCTTTTTAAGCAAACAGCTAGTAGTGGAGATACCAAGAAAGAAATGGTGATAATCTTTCATGCTGAGTACCTCACTGCCCAATTTTACCAGCAATGGGGGGGGGGGGTTCTGCCTTTCTCTATGCTATTTAAATCTCCCTTGCCATTTCCCTGTTTAATTAGAGTCATGTTGGTAGCTACAGAGTGGTCAATTGATATGTATTTTGTAGATAATAATTTTCATGAGTTTATAGACAATGAGTAGGTGTTATCTGGAGACTTGTCTGTCTTTTGTCCATTTCTTTCTGTTTTTTCCATCTCAGATGTTTGACTTTAAAATGCTTTCTTTCATTTTGCACACTGTTTCTTCATTTTTTTTTACTTTATCTTTTGGTTCATAAATGTTTATAATTTTGATGGCTTTTTAATCAAGAAATCCATTTCAAAATTCCAACAGTGAAGATTTGCTGTTTTCTTCTGCGTGGTTTCTTTTACCAATTACACTCATGTTGTTGGCCCATTTATGGTCAAGTGGTGCAGAGTAAAATTCCAAATTCATTTTCCTGCACATGAGTATCTAGTTGGCTCAGCACCATTTGCTGAAGAGATAATTCTCCCATAGGGATATTCTTAATAGTCTTGGCACCCTGACAAAAGTTCAATTGACCATAGATGCATGTCTAAGTCTTTCCCATTGGCCCAGAAGCCTGTTGTGCCAGTGGCAGGGATTGTTTCAAATCTGTAGATAGATTGGGGAAATATTGCCAATTTAATAACAATAAATTGTTGAGTGACTGAACATAGATTTATGGATTGTTTTTCTATTCATATAGTTCTTTCATTGCTTTTAGCATTGTGTGTGTGTGTGTGTTGTTGTTGTTGTTGTTGTTACTGTTTTTGTTGTTGCTTTCTAGTTGTGGGGATCAAACCCAGAGCCATACATATGTTAAGCAAGCATCTCCAACTAAGATACATTTCTGAACCCATGGAGTCAAGGAGAGGTCTTTCTATCACCTGGAGTAGCAGATGGTTGTAATCTGCCAGGTGCATGCTGGGAGTCAAACCTGGATTCTCTGGAAAAGCAGCAAGAGCTCTTGACTCCTGAACCCTCTCTCTAGGCCTTGACTTAGAATTCTTGATCCTCCTGCCTCAGTCTCCAATGTGTTAGGATTGCTTGCAGGCACCACCACTTTTGACTTGGAGAGTCTAACCACTTACATTTAAATTAATCACTGACAAGAAAAGAGTTTCTTCAGCCATTTTCCTGGGGTTTTTTTCCCTACGTCTTAAATCTTTTGGTTGTTTCTAACTTCTTCTGTTGTGACCACCTTTTGTGTTGTAATGTACTTTTTGGAGATTCTTCTCACACAAGTTAAATATTTTCTTAGTGGTTACCCTGGGAATTACAGCAGTCAGAACTAATAACAAATGATTTGATAGCAAATGAGCTTATAAATCGTGCAATACTCAGGTACCCATTAACGTGGATTTATCATTATGTTTCATTTGTTTATCTTTTAAATCATTTAAGAAATTAAACCTGAGTTGCCGTCTATTATAGTTTGAATATAAAATGTTTCTCACAGGCTCATGTTTGAATACTTAGTCTCCAGCAGGAAGGGCTGTTATTAAACCTTTGAGAAATGGAGCTAGCAGATAGAGAGTTCTGGGGGTAGGCTTGAGGCTTATCACTTGGTTCTGCTTTAGGTGCAAGATTTCTTCTTGCTGATCTACCATGATGGGAGCAAGCCATGCCACAAGCTCCTAGCATCATGTGTGGTGTCCCTGTAGTGATCAGACCTTCCTCACTGTGGTAGACCATTTGCATCTAAAACTGAGCCAAAATAAATGCCTCCTCCTGTTAGTTACTTCTGTTGGATACTCTGTCTCAGTGGTGAGAAAAGGAACTAACACACTGATCCATGTTATTATAATGCTGTCTTTTTATTAACTGTTAGCCAGTAATATCATACAGCGGTTGGCTATTATAATGCTGGCTTTTATTAGCTGTTAGTCAGTTCAGTAGCATCTTCGTATAGCACTGAGCTGTCCCATGGGACGTCCTTTCACTTAACCCAAAAGACAGTAACAGATCCCCGGGGTTTGTTTGAGCATCCCTTCACCTCCCCTCTCCCTCTTTATTTGCCACGAGTTCTAGTTTTGCTGAATACAAATGTCTCTATAATACACCATAAATACACTGATTGTCCTGTGGGCACTTTAAACACATCATCCCACTGATTTGTGGCATCTATAGTTTCTGATGAGAAATCAAATGATAATCCCGCCAAGAATTCTATCCACAACAAAGCATTCCTTTCTTGCTGTTTCCAAGTTCTCTGTGCCTTTGTCTTTGGACAGTTTGATTGTGTGCTTTGTTGTGGGGAATCTTGACGTTTGTTCTCCTTGGCATCTGTTGGGTTTCTTGGATGAACAGATTTGTTTTCATCTCTTCGAAAACTTTTTAGCGTCGTTCCATTGTGTATTCCTTCTCTCTCCTTTTGCCTCTTCCTCTGTCTGGAAGGAATGTGTAATTGGCACAGTGTGCATTCCAGTAAAGTCTCTTGGGCCTCCCTGACTCTGTTCACCTTCTTTTATCTTTCCAATCAAGCTGCAGGATTCCTTCAAGTAAACGGACATTGTTTTGCATCTCAGATCTAGTGGCGACCAGTCTCAGTCTCAGTCTCAGATTCCAGAACAGTTGCTCCTCTCTCTCTCTCTCTCTCTCTCTCTCTCTCTCTCTCTCTCTCATGCTAATTTTTGTGAGGGCACCCAAGAATCTGTTCCTGTCTCCTTGTCCTTCTCAACCTTGTGTGTGTATGTACGCACGTGTGTGTGTGTTTGATATATACATATGTGCATGTGTGTGCAGGTGCACATGCCCCTGTGTGACTGTGCAAAAGTCAGAAGTCAGTGTCAGGAGTTTTCCTCTATTTTGATCCACCTTAATTTTTGAGACAAGATCTCTCACTGAACTTAGAATTCCAGATGTTCAGCTGTCTCCGATAGCAGCACCTTGGCAGGGTAGAGATTATGAGTCTGCATTGGCACATCAGCTGCCAGAGATCCAAATCCGGGTCCTCATGCTTGTGCAGCATGCACTCTGTCCACAGAGCCATCGCCCCAGCTTCCTCTTTCTCTGCAGTGCTGTGGTCACCCACGTAAGACCAGCACTCTCCTGCTGATGCTGAGCCACATCCCTAGCCTTTATACTCCAAATTTCTAAGACCACTCTCTCCTTCCCGCTCACAGAAATGTTTATTAATACATGTAAGGTGTTATATAAGTGTTTCTAGATAAGTTCTTTAATCAAGAGTTTGCCTTTTCTTTGAAGGACTTCAAAATCATCCACGGTTTAAAGAAAAAAAGGTTTCTCAAAAACCCAGACAAATATCTAGCATAATTGAAGAATATGGCACCCGGATCTATAATTACCAGGTGATGTTTCATTAAATTCTTGTTGCCTGTCACTCATTTAAAACTGAGTAGGCTGCAAGGTGAGTCCAACTGGCATTATGTTTTCTTGGTTTGGGGAGAACAGCCAATAGCAATCTTAAAGCAAGTGGGGGTTCTTCTACGTGGTTTTATGGCTAAGAAATCTCCCCAATTCTCCATACCTTTTGACCCCTGCAAACTCCCTAGCAGAAGCTCCAGGAAAGAGGGAAGACAAACGATACCAAATGATTAACCTTCCCCCATCCCCAGCCAGGTCAGTGCTTTCCTTTGCCTAGAAGCTCCTGAGACCTCAGTGAGATCTTCCTATTCACTCTCTACTCCTCCGTTACCGTCTCCTAACTTTCTTGACTCCTCCAGTTTGCTTCCTTCTTCCTTCCCTCCCTCCCTTCTTCCCTCCCTCCTTTCGTCTCTCCCTACCTCCCTCCCTTCCTCCCTCCCTCCCTCCCTCCCTCTTTCTCCCATTTCCTCCATCTATCTTTCTTTCTTCTTCCTCCTTGTTGTTTGTTTTTTTCTTTTGTGGAAATACGATTTCTCTCTATATATAGGCTTGGCTGTCCTGGAACTCTCTCTGTAAACCAGGCTGTCCTTGAACTCAGAGATCCCCCTGCCTCTGCCTCCTGTGTGCTGGGATTAAAGCTGTGCACCATCACCACCCCCCACATAGTTTGCTTTCTATTGCTGTGATTAACATCATTACCAAAAAACAACAAGGAGAAGAAAGGATTTATTTGGCCCACACTTCCACATCACACAGTTCATCATTGAGGGAATCAGGGAAAGAACTCAGGACAAAAACCGGGCTGTAGAAACTGAGGCAGAGGTCTTGGAGGACCACTGCTTATTGGCTTGCTGCCCATGGCTTGCTCAGTTTGCTTTCTTAAACAGCCTAGAACCTCCTGCCCAGGGTAGGCACCATCCACAGTGGGCTGGACCTGTCCACATCAATCATTAGTCAAGGAAATACCCACTGCTTGCCTATAGGACAATTTTACTGAGCTATTTTCTCAATGGAGGTTTCCCTTTCCCAACTTGTTTTAAGTTACCAAAAACCTAACCAGCACACCAACTTTAGTCCTGGACAAAAGGCCAGCCATGTGAAACCCCACAGACAGACATTTCCTGAGACAGCCTCTGCAGCTCGAGGTCTTTACGTTTTTGGTCCTGGAACCAGGAGCTGGCCCAGACCCTAAGCCATCCTCAGGAAAACAGATGTGCATCCAAAGTGGGCAGTGTTTCTTCACCTCCAGAAACAGCAAACAAGGCTGCCATCCTGGAGTTCACATTCAAGGTCCCTTTCTATCGGATGTGTGAGTGTGAGTAAGTCCAGCTTCCCAAACACAGCAGGCCAAAGAAGACATACATGAAATGTGCTCTTACGTCCCGTGGTTTTTTCAAGGGTCCGAGTGTGATTTCAGAAAAAAGACAACTGAGCGAAGAGGCAAGGCTCAGAATTGTTTTTCTCCTTTATTTCAGGCTAGACTTCGACTCCCTAAGGAGCAACTAGAACTATTAAAGTGAGTGGGGCTTTGTACGGGCCAGTCTCTGCTGTGACTCCAAACACTGGAACACTGGGGTTTGTTTTTAGAAATGTATAGAACTGAAATAATTTTCCTGTATTAGACTTTATACGTCGTGCCAGTCAAGGGCACTTTTCCTGGCCATTGTTCTTTACTCACCACAAAAAGCCAAACTTGTCTAAAATACTATTTTCAGCCCAGCCTAGCCTGATTCTTTAAGTCCAGTACTCAGAAGGCTGAAGCAGCAAGATCCTTATTTTGAAGCCACAGCTGGCAAGGCTGTCTCAAATAAAAGTGAATCAATGAATGGGGAAATGAATATAAATAGTAGACATTGTGTGATCTCCAGGCTACGGCTTCAAAAACACTTCTATCTACTGCACATGGAGTGTAGAGCATCCCATCTTGACAGGGGTGACATCGGGGTTTAGCACTCCCCTCTATGAAGTTACTTGTCTGAGGACAAGGGGGGTTGCTTGCCTCCTGCCTGTTCAGTGTAGAAAAGGCCATGCAAGGATGCCCTCTGACTCTGGTCTTCTGAGTTTCCACCGTGCTTTTCATACACACTGAAATGTCATGAGCAGACAGAGGCACATCCCAGCCTTCCCTTCCTTGCACAATCCTTCTTCCTCCCCTTACGTTGACTCCTTTGCCTGTTGTTGGCCTTGAAGCTGTTGGCGGGAGCTTCACTGTTTTCCTCTTTCACCTTGTGGTTCTTCTGCATCCAGGAAGGAAAGTCAGACTTTGGAGAACAACTTTCGTGAAATCCTGCTTTTAACTGAACAAATAGATGTTCTGAAGGCATTACTTAGAGACATGAAGGACGGCATACACAATCACAGCTGGCCTGCCCACCAAGAGGCTGTGCAGAACCAGGGCACCACTGAGGTTCTCGATGATGTAAGGCAGTCTGGGGCATGGATGCGGGGGGGGGGGGGGGTGAGACATTTAGCCCCAGGGTGCTCATGCCACTTCCTCTACCAACTGGGTATCAACTGTCATTAGCTATGTCCTCTGGGATCCCCTGACTGGCTTCATTTCACTAGTGATGTCCCTGGGACTCTACTTCCCTACCAATGCTGTGTTACAGAGGGGACTTTGCGTTGTGATACCGCTTACCCCTCCCAAAATAACCACCCAGTGGTTCAGAAATGGCAGTCTGTGAATGTCAGCAGCAAATACTCGTCAGCAAGACGTTTCCATTCTGTCCTGAGAACTATGCCTCTGGGAAGCTCTACACTTAGGCCAGAAGCATCTCTGCATTTTGCTCTCCCACTGCCTGGACTGCTACCAAATTCACCTCCCCACATCTAGGTTTAAAATGTGTAGAAATCTAACCCTGGCCTTCCATGGCTCCAGACTCTAGCTTGTCCTTATAATTGTGGCGCAGGGTTCGAGTTAGTCAATGATAAATCCAACTGTTGTACCCGCCCAGGGTACTTGTTTATTTTTGAACAAGAGAAGCCTTTAGAGTCTAACGCTGATTCAAGTGGGTGAAGAATTGCTGTTAAAAGCAACCATCTGGCCTGATGATTCTCAGACAGCTATGGGATATTCCAGTTTTTATTGCTAAGTATAGGGCATTAGTAAAGGTCCCAGCAAGCAATGTACCTGGCCACAGCTCCATCTCATCCCATGGAAAGATACCATGGTACAGCAGGGAGGGCTTAACAGGGAGCCCCAGGGACACCTTTCTGTGGGACCAGGGTTCCCAGCATACTTTAGCTTTAGTTCTTTGAGTTGTCTGAGAAGGGTCACTTCCACAGGGCTGTGGACAAGACATCTGAAGGCACCGGTGCCTATCTCTGAGAGTAGCTGGGAACTCTTAGGACTCTTCAGATGAAGGAGTTTGGGTCCAAGCTCATGAAACAAAGGGTAACTATGCAAGCAGTTGGTAGAGAATAATAACGGAAAACTGCTTCTCCAATCTTCACAGGAAGTGTCAGACTTGGTACATTATGTGCTTAAAAAGTTCAGAGGGGACCAAATACAGATGGCTGATTATGCCCTGAAGTCAGCTGGTAAGTACAGGGTTCGGAATAATAAAAGATGAATTTTTTTTTTTAAAAAAAGGAATGCTTTAAGACCATTTAAAACTCTTTATTAGAAAATGACACATATCCCTATGACTTTGAGAAGGGTGAAATTAACAATTTAGACGCTAATGAAAATACTAGAAATGGTTGCCTTTGATTGTTTCCGGGATTCCATCAGCATGTATCTAGAAGGACCCCAGAGAAAATGGAGATGCCACAAGGAAGTCAAGCAGGAAAGGGAATACTTAAACTCAACAGATGGGTAACACTGTGTATTATATGAACCAAAATGAGATACCTTACAGGGATGCTAGATGCTGTATTGCAGACTAAAGGCCGCTGTTTATAGATGGCTTACTAAGTAAGGTGCTCAACATCTTCCCAATGAAATTAACTCTAAAAGATTACTTAGACTGTGAATTGTAATCTCCACAGTCTATGAACAGTGCAGAGGGGAGGAGGGAAGGACAGGATGTGAACTGTAATCTCTGCAGCCTATGGGCAGTGCAGAGGGGAGGAGGGAAGGGCAGGATGTGAACTGTAATCTCTGCAGTCTATGGGCAGTGCAGAGGGGAGGAGGGAAGGGTAGAACTTGAACTATAGTCTCAACAGTCTATGGGCAGTGCAGAGGGGAGGAGGGAAGGGCAGGGTGTGAACTGTAATCTCTGCAGTCTATGGACAGTGCAGAGGGGAGGAGGGAAGGACAGGACTTGAACTGTAATCTCTGCAGTCTGTGGGCAGTGCAGAGGGGAGGAGAGAAGAGCAGGGTGTGCACTATAATCTCTGTAGTCTGTGGGCAGTGCAGAGGGGAGAAGTGAAGGGTAGAACTTGAACTATAGTCTCAACAGTCTATGGGCAGTGCAGAGGGGAGGAGGGAAGGGCAAGGTGTTAACTGTAATCTCTGCAGTCTATGGGCAGTGCAGTGGGGAGGAGGGAAAGGCAGGGTGTGAACTGTAATCTCTGCAGTCTGTGGGCAGTGCAGAGGGGAGGAGGGAATGGCAGTGTGAGGGACAATGCTGATGAGTGAACTCATCTCTTCTAAGGTGCAGACCATCAAAAGTCACTAATGAGAAGCGGATAATGATGTGTTGAGTAGAGACACCACATACTTAAAACTCTCCTGAAAAACTATGTCTAGGGCTACAGCTCAGCCATGCAGTACTTGCCTGGTGGACACTAGGCCCCTGAGCACTGTGATAATTGTACTATGAATTCATAAGCAAACACAGAAAACTCTAAGCTCAAATGGTCCACTTACCCTATTTATCATTTCATAGTATTTGTTTGTTTGAGTTTTTTGTTTGTTTGTTTGTTTGTTTGTTTTTTGGTGTTTTTTTGAGACATTTCTCACTATGTCGCTCTGTCCTGGAACTCACTATGCCTGCAGACCAGGCTGGTCTTGAACTCAGGGAAATCATCCTGCCTCTGCCTCCCAAAGTGCTGGGGTTATAGGTGTGCACCAACATGCCCCAGCTTCATTTTGTAACATCTTACAACAAACTGAATCCAGGGATACACAAGAATGATAATAAATTTGTGTGAATAAGTACGACCTCTTCTGAGACTAAAAGCCTTATCCTTTGAAATTATATCTGCACCATTTGCTACCTCAATAGATTTAACAATCTGGCCATTGTCGTGTTTAGGTAAATTAAAATCATTTAATGACATTCAAATCACTCATGATTAAAAATTCTGAACAAACTAGAGAGATTTTCTTCAACCTGACAAAGAATGTCTGCATAATTCCAATTTCAACACAGTGATTTATGGGAGACTGGATAATTTCTCCTAAGGCCAGAAACGATGGCCTAAGGAGAAACCATGGTAATGATGGCCATCTCCTCTTACCATTCTTGGTTACCAGTGCCACAGAAGTTCTAACTCATGCTCCAAGACAAGCAATAGGAGAAAGAGAGAGAGAGAGAGAGAGAGAGAGAGAGAGAGAGAACACAAAGTAGGCAAATTAGAAAAGAACTAACATATGTCAACTTATAGACAACATGATTGCTAACACAGAAAAAACAGGACAACATATCTACTAGGAAAACTGATGTTTGTATTGGTGTGTGTGTGGGGGGGGGGTAGGTGGGTGTAGCTGGAACATTTGGTAGCTGGTTTTCAGGATTATCATAAAGGCCTGGAAATCAAAAGATGGCATAGAACACAGGTCAGTCCACATGAATATGGTGAACTGGGTTTTGGTAAAATGGAAAAGTCAAGCCAGTGGTTCTGGAAAAAAGGGCATTCATTGCAGACTAAACCTTAGCTATAATTTACCGGATATGAACCTAAAGTGTAAGGCATGAAGTTATCCAATTTCTAGAACAAAAACTAAAAGAAAGAGGAGTAGTTTTTTTATTCATTATTTTGTTGCACTAGAGACTGAATTCATGGTCTCTTGTTTGTATGATAAACACCCTTCCACTGAGCTATATTTAGACCTTTTCTAAATTTTTATTTTGAAGCAGGGTCTTGATAAGTTCTCCAGCTGATCTGGAACTCACATCATAGCCCAGGTTGGCGTTGAACTTCCAATTGTCCTTCGCCAGCCTAGGAAAGGTTATCATAAAGAAAACACTGACACGTGACCAAAATAAAAGAATGGAGAGTTTGGACCCCATTAGTATTAATTTCTCTTCTGAAAAGGAAAATTGAGAGAATGAAAATTCACAGGCTGGAGAGAGAATATTTTTTTACACATAAATTTAGCAAAGCTCTTGGATCTAAAATTTATGAAAGCTTTCAAACTTCAATAATTATAAAACAGAAAATCCAATTTCAAAACCGGGCAAAAGATCAGAAAACACTTTATTAAAGAAATTCAAATATGAAAGGAACATGAAAAAAATACTGGGCATTATTATTCATTAGTGAAATGGGACTCCAGAGCACAATGACGAGTCAGGACACATCGATCAGAGTGACCGACAGCGAGCCTGCCAAGTGCTGCAGACACCGGAAAGCCCCGGGCTTCCATCCACGGTCGGTGGATGTGTAGATACTACGTGGTACATTTGGAAGGCGACCTGACAGCTGCCTCTCAAGTTAAATATAGCCCTAGTGACCCTGTTGCGCCACCTCTAGGCATTCACCTAAGAATTAAATATCACATTTACAGCAAAGCATGCATGCCAAAGCTGGGGGTGCAGCTCGGTGCCAAGAGTGCCTGCTTAGGGACCCCTAAGGGCTTGGGTTTGAGCCTCGGTTCTGTAAAACCCAACAAAACCCATGTGAGAATGCCTGCAGTAGCTAGACTGGCAATGACCACAATGAGAAATGTCCACTAAGAGATGAATAAAGCACTCTGAAGGCAACATAAAGAATAGCTCTGTGGTACTCACCACTGCACACAGGGATCGCAAATGCTTTATGCTAAGCCTAAGCTGCCATATGCAACGAGCTGCAGAATGCAATGCACCGCAAAGAGACAGTAAAAGGAATGGCTGGGATAAGTGGGTGTGTGAGGGAGGATGGATCAGACACTGCTCCGCCTGGGGCTGGAGGCTGAAGAAAATGGGGAGGACTGCTACTGACTGTGCTCTTTTATTTCATTTTATTTTTTATTTTTGAGCTTACGCATCCTAAATTTGCCACATGATGGCTGGCATAATTCTGAATATGCTAAAACAAGTAATACTGAACTGTAAATGGGTGAATTACTGGGTATGTGAATTATTTTTCAATGCTAATTAGAACTAAAGTCTAAGCCAGCGGTAGTAGCACATGCATTTAATCCCAGCACTCAGGAGGCAGAGGCTGGCAGAAACCATCTTGAAAACCCAACCTACCAAACAAACAAACAAGCAAACAATGCAAAAACAAAATAACAAAACAAAACAAAAACCTAAAAATAATTAATTAATTAATTAAAATAATGAATAAGCATGAGTTTCTTCAAAACCCACAGATAAGTGTTTTTGGATCCCGGGAAGTGAGTTTCTCCACCAATACAATAAGCCAACTAAAAGTTGAGTTAAAGCTGGGTTGTGGTGGCCCATGCCTTTAATCCTAGCACTCAGGAGGCAGAGGCAGGCGGACTTCTGTGAGTTCGAGGCCAGCCTGGTCTACAAGAGACTTTTGGTGGTCTTTCTAAGGGAGCAGGGTTTGGAGCCCGAGGAGTGTAACTGAGATGGAGTCTCGAGGCAAAGTTTACAGCCAAACACCCACAATTTTTTCTCATGTGATGATTCTAAGGGGGAATCAGATTTATATTAGCTTAGCATGCAAAAGGGATTTTCCTGTCCAGCAGGTCATACAAGTAAGGATATTAATTGTTAGATAAAAGATGCCTGCTTCAGTCTCAGTTTGGGAGAATGGAAAGCAACTGCAGGATAAGCAAGCCCCAAGAATTGTATAACGTAAGACCGTTACTCAAAACTTAAGACACAGTTGTAATCGTGTGTGTGTGTGTGTGTGTGTGTGTGTGTGTGTACACATATGGTGTTCATGGATGCCAGAGGTCCCTGGTGTCCCTCGAGCTATTGTCAAAGGTGGCTGTGAACCACCTGATATAATCCTAGGAATTAAAAGCAGGTCCTCTGGAAGAACAGAAGACTCTTAACCGCTGAGCCATCTTCCTATTATTCAGTATCTAAATTTCAAGTTTAAATTGGAGATTTGTAGTTCTTCTTGTTATATGTGGCAACCATGGGCCCATATTTAATAGTTCAAACTGTGCTATCCCAGACAAAGTTCAGAGCATAGATGCCTGGTCAAGAACATGCAAGCTCATGGACTTCAGGGTTATACTGCGCTACTCAAGGGAAATTTAAAGAAGTGGTTTGCATTTTAAAATTTCTCATGTCTCAAGTATGTTTCCTTCCTAATTGAAACAACGTGAAGGGATAATGTTTGCTAAATCCCTTTATGCTTTTATTACAATTAAACCTCCTACAAAAAATTAAAGTCTGATGAATTTGCATAATTATTGTTACAAAGATAACATGAAGAGCACACACGTGGTGTGGCTTTGCTGCTTTTTATTGAGTGAAGGAGGCTGACAGAAAACCTAATTTTCTGGATGCTGATAAATATAGTATATGTATTAGTTCGAGTTTTGATTCATTTGTTCCAGTAATTGTGATTTTTTTTAGCATAAGTTTCAGAAATTTTTTGAAACTAGAAAAATGAAACATGACTTTCTGTCTGGATATGGTGCCACATACCTATACTCCGAGCACTTAAGAAGCTGAGGCAGGTGGATTGCTCCAAGTTCAAAGTCAGTCTTCAATACTTAGTGAGTCCCCTTTTCAAAACCAAGAAACAGATGTGCAAACACATTTCCAGAAATGACAGGATGTGAGTAGTTTATACAGGCCTGACTGAGCCCTGAGTGTTAATCTGACTTTGTGACTTTGCCAGTAGTCTTTCCAGGGAGATCACTGAAATCCAGATGGCGTGTGTTAGGTTTTATGCATTAAGTTTAAAATATTTTGCAATTTTAGGAGCCTCTGTCATTGAAGCTGGGACCTCAGAAAGTTACAAAAACAATAAAGCAAAACTGTACTGGCATGGGATAGGGTTCCTCAATTATGAGATGCCCCCAGATATGATTCTTCAGGTAAGTGCTAAACAGGACGATGTTACGTCTACCTTACAGTTTTGTTATTAAGGACCATGATTGTGTTGATGTCTAAACCAGAGGCAAGAACAACCACACTGCCTATAGAGACAGGATACTTCTTACATCTCTATACCATCCCACTGTACACATTAATAATTGCTAATAGTTTATTAATTATTGCATTTTTAAGATCAGAAAACTAGAGTTTGTCAAAACCCAGAATTCCATACCTTTCATTTCTACTGATTCTGTGACATCCCCTTTTCCACTGAAAATGTCAGTCATTCAACAGACATTTGCTAAGAGAGGCTGTCCTCCAAATGCCAGGCAGGCATTAGGTGCTATGCCAATCACAAGTTCTCACAGGGTTGACTGTAACAAATTTTCACTTAGCCTTTTGTTCACCTGGAAAGATCATGACTGTCAGCACACTGTGAGCCATGTATCAGAGGCTGCTTGCAAACAGAAAAGTGTATTCAGAGACAAACCTGCGTTCTCTTCTTGCCAGGTTACAATTTCACATCTAGTAAAAGAAATGTTTTTTCTTCTTTACCACCAGGACCTCCATCGCCGTTATTATCCACCATTGGCATTTCCCCATCAACCATCACTAAGGTCACCTTCACTTCCACTACCATAAGCACTGTCAGGTCTGCCACCACCATCACTTCCACCACAAACACCATTGTCTCCTTAGTCATCACCACCATCACCCCAGTACCATCAGCACCACCATCACAATCAGCACCATCAGCACCACCATCACCATCTCAATCAGCACCATCAGCACCACCATCACCCCAGCACCATCAGCACCACTATCTTCCCAGTACCATCTGCACTTCCAGCTGTAGTTGCCCTTCCAGCAGTCTAGTTGCAGCAGTGAAAACAACACCCTGCTGTGGGAGAGGCTCTGAGGGACAGAAGCACAAGTGTTCTGGATGAACAACCAGACCCAGGGTGTTTGGGAAGGTCTCCTGTTTGCTGGGTGTCCGAAGGATCTTACAGTTGCTAGCGATGAGGTGCTCGGTACTGAAAGATTAGATTTATGCACCCAGAAATGAGATTCATTTCATGTTTTCTCTCCAGCCAGATGTCCACCCTGGAAAGTGCTGGGCCTTTCCAGGTTCCCAGGGTCATATCCTGATCAAACTGGCCAGGAAGATCATCCCGACAGCAGTCACCATGGAGCACATCTCAGAGAAGGTGTCCCCCTCGGGAAACACCTCGAGTGCACCCAAGGAGTTCTCTGTCTATGTGAGAAGCTGTCTAAAAGCTGACATTCAGAGTGGGTGGACATAGAGGGTGTTAGACTGGGAAGGACGAGCTACCCTCATGTCTTTGGTGATTGAACCTAGTGTCTCTTGGAGGCTGAACCAGAAATCTACCACTGAGCTATCTCCGCCCTGGACTCTCCGTTGAACTGTACACTAGTTTCTTGTGTATCTTATGTCTAGGGTGTTTTCCTTGTTAGTTACAGACTGGGAGGACTGGACCTATGATTTCTGTGTTTGATTTTATATTTTTTCTTTACAACTAAAAAGTTACACACATACACCTGAAATGCGGGCTATTTACGTAAACTTGATAATGCACCTTCCTGCTTCTCCCTGTTCCCAATTCTTTTTTTTTTCCTCTCAAAGCCCCCACCAGCAGCAGTCTTACCTGCTACTGGGGAGCCTGCTTCCATATTTTCCTCTATCATTATTTCTTAATTTTTCAGTGTTAGATATTATTTGATGGCTTCCTCCAATAGAAGATGAAAATCACATCTTTTCTGTGGCTCTGCCCATTTGATAGTTTTGTCTTAAAAAAAAAAAACATTTGAAGTGCACACTTCAGTGGTTCTAGCATTCACACTTCTGAATCCACCATCACAATTTTAGAACATTTTTGTCGCCTTCCAAAGGAACCCCATACTGCTTAATTTTCACCTTCATCCCGCATCACATCCCTAGCCCTTGGCAACCAGGAATGGACTTTGACTCATAAATTTATCTGTGCCAGACATTACCTTCATCACACTCTGCACTCTCCAGTGAGGGATTAACACAGGTTTAGCTATGATGTAGCTCTTGTCAATATTTGACTGCTTTTTGGAAGCCAAGAATAAATATTTGATTGTTTGTGTTTTACTGATCTATTAGTTGGTAGACATCTAAGAGTTATTTGCAGAGCTTTTATAAATAATGAGACCGTGAATATTTATGAATATGGTAGACTGTGCAAGAGTCTACCACAGATGTTGGACTTTGTTTCTACAGAAATACATACTGGATTGGAACTCCTAAATCTGTGTTTCATGTTTGAGGCTCTTGGTGGGGCAGGAGGGGGATGCGTGTCTTTTTTTCTTTGTCTCAGTCAGAGGTCAACAACGTTTTTCTGATGAGTACTGGGCACTGCTCCCTGCTGGCCAGACAGCACTTGAAAGTTACTTTCTTTACTGAACACGTTTTAAACATTTCCAAAGGTATTTGCCGCCTGTTTGTCTAATTTGCTCACTTTGGTGCATGTCTGTCTCTAATACATTGCCAAGCTTTCCATGAGAGGCACATCTCCTCCCATTGTTAATTCAAGTCAGATAAACTGCTTCCCTTGCCCTCCCCCTTCCTCCCAGCCATCCCATCAGAGCTCTTCTACCCTCTGGCTCCAATCTGATGATTACTAGATGAACCTGGCGCATGACTGATACCGTGGGATCTCATTCCTGCATCCCCAAGTCTGTTTCTCAGCTTCCTTTTCTGATTCATATTCCGTCTCTGAAAGACTGCACCTATTTTATTCTAACGCCTGTGCAAGACTTTTCATTTCTTCCACCAAAACTATACTCTCTAAGACTTCTGTTTCTACAAATATTGCTTGTTTAGAGTCTTTGGTGCTTGCAGCTTCGCCGTCATTGCACCCGAAGATACCAGAGGATAGCAGAGTTTCATTTCATCTGCTTGTTTCCAGGGTCTCTGTTGGTCTTATAAGCAGCTTTTCTTGAGTATCTAGATGCTCCGTGGAAGCCCAGCAGCACAGTCAATGCAGTTGACTCTGGAAGGATTCCTGCATGTGACAAGTATCAGCCTAGCCGCTCTGCTGGGACCTGCAGAGGAGGAAGAGAACAAGAGAAGCCTCAGCTGCACAACCAGCTGGCTCAGAAGGACAGCTCTGGCAGGGGCTGGTGGGCAGGGACTGCCATGGACTGAGGGCTCTCAGGAAATGTTGAAATGACAGTCAGCCAAGCCTCAGATCCGAGTCCCTCCCTGCCTAGTCCTCTAGCATACCATGGCCCAAATCCCGAGCCTTTCTGGGCTTGCAGCCTAGGTCCCTGTGGTGCTAGTTTCACCTCGAGCCACAGGAGTCTGTGTTTCCGTCTGCTGCTGTTTGACCTTCCCCAGGGTTTCTGTGTGAGTGCCTACTCCTAATTTTTCCTCGAAGGTTTAGCTAGGCCTGACCTTTATCCTTTGATATTACTGGCTGGAGGAAATGTAGCCTACTTCCTGGACCCACCAGTGCTTCTAATCCCATGCTGCTGAGGCTTCCTGATTCCAGCCTCTGATGCTCACAAACATTGCAGTGTGAAGGATGAGTTTCGGCAGGCCCTGTCTGACTGTATTTACTCCGGGCTGTCCCTTACTAGTAGGCATTCTGGCTGATTCCTCCAGGCAGGAATCACTGAGCAAGAACAAGTGCTTCCCATTTTCCTTCTGTATTACAGAATAGATGAACCAAATGCTCCCCCAATCGCTCTTGGCCCTAGTACTCTGAAACAGAGTCTTTCACTGAACTGAAAACTTACCTTCTTGGCAAGGCTTGCTGGCCAGGGGGTTCTATCTGTCTCTGACCCCCCAATGTTGGGGTTACAGGCACAAGCAGCCTTGTCCACATTTTTAAACGGAAGCTGGGAATTTGAACGCATGTCTTCAGGCTTGCCTAACAAGCAATCTTATCCACTGAGCCATCTCCCCAGCTCCAGCACAGGCAACTTCAGGTGGACTGTTGCAACTTGAAGGCCTGCGCCCACTGCTTTCATCGAGCACCCACCCACTTGTTACAGCCTCCATTCCTGTTGCTTTCCCTGCAGGGCATGATGAAAAGATGCGAAGGAGAAGAAATGTTCCTAGGTCAGTTTATGTATAACAAAGCGGAAACAACCGTTCAAACATTCGAGCTCCAGGTAATAACCCACCGGGAAAGGCTAAGTTATGTTTGACCTCATCACTAAGAGGGATTTGCTGGAACTGCTGCCCGGAAATAAGTATGAGTAAAGCACGGGCTGAGAAAGGCCGTCATAACTCCACTCTGCTTCTTACGTGTATTTTAGTGCACACCCTTTAACTGTATGGCATTGGTGCAAAATTAGTGATAAGAGGCAGACACTTGCAAAAGCAGTTTCTAGCCCGCTCTCACTTGCTACTAGTCCCCGATGTGTTGAGCTTCTCAATCTGTTCTTTTTAATAGTGCACCCAGCACATGGACAGGAAACAATCTCCCACGTGAGCAGTTCAGTTCGATAGTGACTGTCTCATCTGCCTTGAGGAAAGGGGCTAGCTTTGAAGATGAGACATGAGGTGGAGAGAGGGGAAAAGGAAGGCAGTCAATATTTAATGCCAGACAATGCCAGTAGACTCTTTCTTCCCAAGCCAAGGAGGGGAAACACCCACTGTTAACTGATAAACTTCCCAAAGTGCACTAAAGTGTGTAAAATACCTCTTCATTATCTATAGTCAGTCCCTAAAATTGGCCTAGCTGAAGAGATGTGTAGAAAGCATCTCATGCTATGTAAGGATAAGTGTTTATGATACTTTTTGGTCAACAATGAAATTGATCCAAGTCTCCCCCGTCCTACCACCAAGTGCCCAAACAGCTCTCGACATGCAATGATCTCACACACAGAATCACACCACAGATGAAAACGCCTTTGGGACTGCACTAAGCAAGTAAAGATTTTCCTTGTAATGTGTATTTTAGACACTACAACATAGCGAAGGTTAACATAGCATTTGCCCTGGGTTCAAGATGTCTTGAGATGGTCTTAACCACATGGAAAGCTAACCCTGACTTCTATGCAAATACTATGCCATTTTATATAGGAGACTTGGGAACCCATGGATCTAGGATCAAGAGGAGGTACTGGAAGCCATCCTCCCAGATCCCAAGGGATGGCTAACTGTTTTAAATGGACATATCTATAGAGTTCTATGTCTGACTTGCATATTCATTTGGGTTTGGATTCATATTAGTTTTGAGTTTGGTTGAGCTTTTGTTTGTTTTTAACAAAACAGGGTCTTGCTTATGGTAGCTCAGGCTAGCCTCAGCTTATGCATCTTCTGCTTCAGCCTTCACAGTCAGTTTTATGGGTCTTGTTTTCATACAACTCTCCTTTTATTGGCACAGAGAGAGAGTGAGGGGAGTCAACATAGTGTGAGCCACTGCTGAGACCTCCTGAGGTCTTCATGCTCCCATGTTTATGTGTTCATGGGATCCTCCTTGCCAGCTGCTCATCTTCCTATCCACTAGTGCACTATCTAAATGCCCTTGTGCTAGGAAAGGAAAGAAGTATTCCCACATTCCCCACTATGTCACTGTGCATTGGGATTCTTCCAGAGAAACCTTTATAGGTCATTCATGTTCTCTTTGTTTCCAGAATGAAGCACCTGAATCTTTGTTATGTGTGAAACTTCAAATCCTTAGCAACTGGGGACATCCAAAGTATACTTGTTTGTACAGATTCCGAGTCCACGGCATCCCCAGTGATCACACTTAGAGGAGCTGGTGCAGAAGGAGGTGACCATGAAGCCAGAGTGTCCAAGGATGTTGCTATTCCCTTACACCAGATTGTACCCCTAGAAACCAAAGATTTGGAGTGGGAGGGAAACCTCAAACTCACCCCTACTAAGCAGTAAGAAGTCGATGGATTTTACTAATAAAAAAACAAGTAAAAGCAATTCTACAGCTTTCGGGCAGTTCACTTTGAGCATCAGGGGGTGATTTTGTATTTGGGAGATGATCTTACTGGGAAGTCGTCCTCACTACAGCTTCTGCACTTTCAGATCTTCATCCCCCGTCTTGGGTGCCAGGCCCACTCTTACCGCCGTAACCCACTCTGAGCTACAGGCTCTGGGCAGCAGAAGTAGAGAAGCCGCAGATACTTCTTAAGTTAGAGATAAAAGTCAGCAGCAAGTTCTGGCCACGAATGTTTGCAGGTGACTCCTCAGAGTTCGGTACTGCCCTCTTAAACATTACAAATGGGCTGGCCAGATGGCTCAGCTGGGAAAAGCCCTCTGTGACCAAGTCAGAGTATCTGAGTTCAGTCCTCAGACCATCCACGGTGGAAGAAAAGAACCGGTTCTCCAAAACTGTCCTCTGACCCCTCCATACAAAATAAATATATTTTTTTTAAAAATTACAAACAAGAAGAAATTGAAATAATCTGTTAGCTGTGAAACTGCTGCATGTAAATCAAAGCTACACATAAATAAAAACAATGATCAGATCAAGAGCATAATTTATAAAAGCCACAACAAAGACCATAAGCATCAGGTAAAGGGAAGGAGAATGTATATATGGGAAAGGCCCTATACAGCAGAATGATTAAAAGGTTTCAATAAAGGGCAGGCCTGGCTCAACTGTGGAGATATCAATTCCCATTAACCTAATTCAGAATGATAATGATCTTAATAAAAACCAGAAATTTACAGTAATTCTGGAGCAGTCATGAGACAGTAGTGTGTCCGAGCTCACCTGCAGAGAAAAGGCAGAGCATGTGGCCTGCATGCATGAAGTTCCAGGTTCCATCCCCACCAGTGGAGCAAAAGGAATTATTGCTAAAAAAAAAAATATCAAAAATATCCGTGTGAAAATGTTATCACAATTTTGTTTTTAATAGAATTGTTTCTGTGCACAGAGGCAGAACATCTGGAATCCTAGCGTTGGGGAAACTGAGGCAAATGGAGCCTGAGTTTGAGGCCAGCCTAAGATATTTAGAGAGGTCTTGTCTCAAATAAGAAACATGCCCTTGACCATCAGGATGGCTCAGTCATACCACCTCTGACAATGAGAATTTGATCCCTCTCTTTACACATGGTGTAAAGGAAGAACACTCCTGAGACATGTCCCTTGATTTCCATAGGCACATTATGGCGTGTAGGCCAGGACACACATGCCATGGCATGCACATACACACAAAACTTTCACAAAATAAACACAAACAAAATGTTTGTCATGCCACGATTTACCACATGACTCACTTTTTAAAAAGAAACATTCTTTTTGGCTTGTATTTTAAATATTTGCATGTGAAATGACGCACCTTGGATCTGTTTTCAATTTCTGTGAGGGAAAGAAGCAGGAAGATGGGGAAATAAGATGGGTGGGAGACGATCACTTGAGTGGTCACAGTATCCATGGGAACTTTCACTCTGCTCTCTCTACATTCATACATGCTGCTATTTCAATGTTAAATTGTTTTTGGAAAGCCAAAATAGGCATAGTTTTTATACAAAAAAAAATGTGTGGTTTTAAAACCTCTAAAGATATGTTGTAGACAAATTTGATTCTCAATTTCTCAATTTTATAGCAATACATCTATTATTTTTTGAGAATCTATTAGAGAACCTGGCCTTTGTAACATGAGTGGCAGATAGGTTTCCATCTTGTTTAAGATTTGTTGCATATCACCATAGAACCTTCATCTGGCGATGGATGGAGATAGAGACAGAGACCCACATTGGAGCAATGGACTGAGCTCCCAAGGTCCAAATGAGGAACAGAAGGAGGAATAACATGAGCAAGGAAGTCATGACGGCGAGGGGTGCACCCACCCACTGAGACAGTGAGGCTGATCTATTAGGAGCTCACCAAGGCCAGCTGGACTGGGACTGAAAATGCATGGAATAAAACCGGACTCTCTGAATATGGTGGACAGTGAGGGCTGCTGAGAAGCCAAGGACAATGGCACGGGGTTTTGACCCTACTGCATGTACTGGCTTTGTGGGAGCCTAGCCGGTTTGGATGTTCACCTTCCTAGACCTGGATGGAGCGGGGAGGACCTTGGACTGCCCACAGGGCGGGGAACCCTGACTGTTCTTTGGACTGGAGAGGAAGGGGGAGAGGAGTGGGGCGTGGGGAGTGGGGGGAGGGGGAGGGAAAAGGGAGAAGGGGGGAGGTGGAACTTCTTAATTAAAAAACTTCAATAAAAAATAAAAAATAAAAAAAGATTTGTTTGCAGTGTTGCTATTTATGGAAACCTGAAAAAGTATCATCAGAGGGGATGTTTCTGTGACAAAGAGCCACGTGGTTCGGCACACTGACACATCAGTGGAGCTGACAAGCCCAAGACTTATTTCTATCTGTGTGGGGACTCTGTGAGCACAAACTCACAGGCACTGAGTCTTACTTTTCTCCTGCTAGGGTTACAGCACTACAAATTTGTAGTTACAAATAAATTTGTAGTAGGGTTACAAATAAAAGAGGTTGATTTCTGCTCACAGTTCTGCCAGTTTCGGAAGGATGCATTTTTCAGTGGCTTGCATACTGGACTTGAGACTTTCCGTAATACATGAGAAGAGCTTATGAGACCTAGCCAAGCTGGAGCTATGTCGGCCCACCCTGGTGATAACCCATAATCCATTAACCATATGACCAATTAATCGGTTGGTGAGCACAGAATCATAATCACCACTCAGTGTTCTCACCCACAAATATCACGAGAGAGCGAACAAGCCATATCCAAAGCGTAGCACCTGAGCGAAACCAAGCAAATGGCTTGGAACAGTTATCTAGCCATTAAGAAAATGAAATAGCTTCTTAATGATTACAATGTGATAAATCCCCAATATAGCATGGTGAAATATTTACAAGTGGGTAATGAAACCATAAAAGTCTTAATAAAACTGGGACTAATTCTTGTATGATATTGGAAAGAGAAAGCTACAAAAGCATAAAAATTCCACATAAGCAACAGCATTGCAAATAAAGACCTTAAACAGAATGGAAACACATTTACCACTCACATTACAAAGGTTAACCTTTCTAAGACAAATTATCAAAGCAGCAACACTAACATCAGCCCACCATGGAAGTGCTAAGCAGTTAATCAATATGCAGAATGTTCACCCTAGGTGTGCCTTTTCAGCAAATGCTGGCTCACATGGTCCACACCCACCAAATACTGGTCTATTTCCTCCTGGATTAGATGTCATTGTCCTCAAGTCTTCATCCCTCTGCACTTAGAACTGCAGGATAGTTCCAGTGCACTGCACTAATGCAATTTTTAAAAACCAATGGAATTTATTTAAAGGTTTCATTTGACATCCATAAGATGAGGAGTCCCTTGATCAATTTCTTAAGCAGAACCACGATCCTTAGATGAAGACTGTTCCCAAAAAGACATTCGCTCATGCCAGTCTCTACAGGATGAGTTTCCACCTCACCATTTTCTCATGTAAACAGTAAGACAAATACTTACTTTCAAATTTGCTGTAGAACTTCTGAGCGATGCCACTTTCTTTCCCTCTGGGGCAATTTTTCCAACACTAACCGCTAACAAGCCCGCAAATAAATGAGTCTTTTCTTCCCCTGAGACTAGTGAAGATGAGCAGGCATGTGACAGACACAGCCACCTCGACTTTGGGTAACAGTAAAGACATGCTACTCACCTAGACAGCAGCTCGAAAGATGCACCTCCCTGACCTCCAGCTGCATAGACTGAGTGACATTTGACCTGTAATGTACTTCCTTTCCTACAACAAGATCAGGCAGGATGTTTTACTCCTATAAGTAAACATAACACCAACATTGTTCTGCAGCTCCTCATGTGACTGAATGGGGCACCCTGAAGGTTTGGACTTAATAAAATAAAAAATCCATTTACCACCTAGATGGAAAATAACAAGCAGGTATTGCATTAGAAAATGCTCTGGCACATAGGACTTCTGGAATTCTCTAGAGTGATTTCTTGAGGAAATCATTTGGAAAGAAAATATGGAAATATCGATATATCTATCAATTCTGAAATCATTGACTTTGCTTGCTAAACCTATTTAGTTTAATTGCAAGAATATAGAAGATTAATATTTTCTTCTAAGAAAAAACTGTTGGCTTACTTATATATTTTTGAGCAAAATCCTTACATTATTTGAGATTCATCAATAAGGAACATATAATCATCATTATTATGTATACGTCTTCTTAGGAATTTAAAAATTGTTTTGCCATTTTATTGCATAATATCAAGCAATTTCAAAATAGAGGTCAGGTACAATGGCACACTGCTTACAAAGTTTATTTAAACGCAGTCTTTAGGAACTGGTGAGATGGCTCAGCGGTAAAGCTCTTGCCTTAAAATCACAGGACACCAAGTTCAAATCTTTGCTTTAAACATACAAGAGAAGCCAGATGGGGTTAACAAGCATTTGTAATCAGCATTCCTCTGGTGAGACAAGAGGCAGAGACAGACAAATCCCCAGGAACTCATGCTCCAACTGGCCTGGGCTATTCACCAGCTGACAGCAAAGGCACACCCTGCCTCAAACAAGGTGGAAGGTGAACACCAAGACTAGAGATTGTCCTCTGACCTTCACATGAACTCCAATGCATGGATGACCCTGAGTACATGCATGTACACACAGACAATATAACCTTTAAACACAAAATATATGTAACGATGACCTTATTTCATGTGACATCTGTATTTCAAAATTAAGTTCTAAATAAAAAGGCAAATTTTGTTGACATTCAAAAGTGTTATCTGACATTTGGCTTGCCAACCACTTGTATGTTGCAGTGTAGACTAGAATTTAGCTTCATGTTTTTTATATATATATATATATATAATTCTTTACCAATAGTCTGCACTATCAGCTGTTTTATTATTATCTTACCATTAAATCTGTTAAAGATATCTAAATGTTTAAATTAAACTTTACTCTGTGTGAATGTACGCACGTGGGAATCAGAGAACAACTTTTGGAGTTACACCAGGGCCCCAACTCAGGCCTTCATGGAAAACACTTTTATCTGCTGAGCCATCTCGAGGACCGCAAAGATCTGGATTGATATTATTTTTCAAAGCACTTTAAGAATATTGTGGGGGTGGGGGGGATTGGTTATGTGGTGAATTGAAAGAGTGCTTACCTAGAAAGTGGGGAGGCCTGGGTTTTAATCCCCAATATTATCTGAAAATGTTTACAACTATAATCCTTGAAAAAACAGTGTTCTATTCTAGGTTAAAAATTCTTTTAATGCAATTCTAAGAACACTATACTAAGAGGGCCTTTATTTGTGTATGGTACTGGGATGAATGCAAAGGTCACAATTGTATTCGACAAGTGTTCACACACACACACACACACACACACAAAGAGGGGAGAAAGAGACAGAGGAGGAGAGGAGGAGAGAGAAGGAGCGAAAGGAGAGGAGGGGAGAAGGGAGGGAAAAGGAGGAGAGGGGAGGGAGGAATGTGTTTGTCCTATTCTCTTTCCTTTTTCCTTCCCTTCTCCTTCTTTCCTCCCCGCCCCCCTTCCTTCTTTCATTTTAAATAAGCTTGCTGACATAATGTCTCTAAGATGCCCAGGCAAGTCTCCAACTTCTGGCTTAAACACCCTCATTAGCTAAGGCTAATTAATAAGAATTTTATAGGCTCTGGTGAGTTTCTATTGAGACAAAGGTGCAGAATTATCAGTTCACATCCACGGCCTTCAGATATCCTATCAAGTTATGCGCTCAAAGTTTTAAAACGTTTCTATGAATTTCCAAAACTTTAAAAACGCTGCTCTGCCAGGTATCCACGTGTGTTCCAGGACGTGACTTGCCCGCACCCGGGGTGTGGAGTCTCTGTTGCCACGGCAACAGTTGGGCGGTGCTTCGCCGCCTTTGACCCGGGTGAGCGGCAGGCGGAACCTCTCCGGCCGCACCGGAACCTCAGTGCGCGCGCCCGCGTTTCCCAGTCGGAACGCTCCGGGAGGGACTTTCGAGCGCCTCGGGCCGAAGCTGCTGCCGGCCAAGAAACCGTCATGAAGTTTCGCGCCAAGATCGTGGACCTGGCTTGTCTGAATCACTTCACACGTGAGCTGGCAGGGCTGCGGGGAGCGAGCGGAGAGAGCGGCTGCAGCCCTGTGAGAGAGGACGGGCGGGGTGGAGGGCACAGCTGGGACCCGGAGGCTGGGAGGGCGGCCCTGAGGGGGAAGGATAGCTGCCGGGGACCTTGCCCGTTGCAGTCCTCCCTCGCTCTTCCTATGCCCGCGAATGTGCCTAATCCTGCCCGCGGGCCGTACGCAACTGCCCCACCGTTACGTGGAATGCACGCCAGATTCCCCGTTGTCAGTTGTTCTCTGAGACCGTTTCATTATTGAACACTGGTGCTGTGGGCTGTGTGCTTCGCAAAATGTCAGCGGCGTTGAAGACCGAGCGTGATCCGTGAACTTCAAGTTCTGCAAGCTGAGCTGTAGGATACCCGATGTCATGCGTAGTTACTACTTTTTTTTCCCTCCCCGCTACAGGAGTCAGTAACATGATAGCCAAACTTGCCAAAACCTGTACCCTCCGCATCAGCCCGGAGAAGCTGAACTTCATCCTTTCGGACAAGCTGGCCAGTGGTGGGGTGAGCATGTGGTGTGAGCTGGAACAGGTGAGCAGGAACACCCAGAGTCCCCGGGCTCCAGCCAGGGGTGCTGAAAAAAGGCCTTAAATGCCTGCTTCTGTCCCGCAGGAGAACATTTTTAGTGAATTTCAGATGGAAGGAGTCTCTGCAGAAAACAATGAGATTTATTTAGAGTTAACTTCAGAAAACTTATCTCGAGCCTTGAAGACTGCCCAGAACGCCAGAGCCTTGAAAATCAAGCTGACTAACAAACACTTTCCCTGTCTTACAGTGTCTGTAGAGCTGGTAAGTAGGAGGAAAAGGATTTCTGAATTTTTTTATAAGTGTCTTGTTTTGGTCTAAGGTGTATAAGTAGCTATAAGCCTGAGATTTCAAACAATATTCTTGAAAGTGAATTAGTTTCATTTAAATATAAAATCTAGTCCAGCATGGTGGCCCATGTCTTTAATCCCAGCACTGGGGAAGCAGAGACAGGAAGATCTCTGAGTTCCAGGACTGCATAGAGACCTTGTCTCAAAATATAAGATCTGGTTCCTGACTTACATGTGAGAAATGCACTTTATCCTAGTCATTTTAAAACAAAGTTTGATTGTACAATGTTCAACAGGATACTGCTTTTTCCAAACAGTCAAATTGCTAGCTAGAATCTCTTTCTTTTAGGATATTATTCACCTTGTCTAGATGTTTTTATCCACTTCCATCTTAAAATTTCATCATCTGTACTATTCTTAAATACATAGTCCTCAGACTTAAGTAACACATTTGTTTTCGATGCTACTACTAGACGAGTAGCGAGCAGCCTCTCCTCAGAACACACGGAAACACACAGACAAGATGGAGTTTGTGATTTCTAATGTGTCCCTAGCCTTTCACAAATAGCCAAGTCACCAATTAATACCCTCTGAGTGGTTCTCTGGATATGTCGGGTTTTTCCCCACTCCCAGGCTGGGGACATCAATTGGACATTCCACTTGAAGTTTCTCTCCAAAACTTTCCCTTTCTTTAGTGCTCTGCCCAGCCCACCCAGGGCCTCCATTATCTTTACAACTTCCTTTTCTTATATGTTCTGGGCATCTGTGGGTGAGTATTAGTACATTTGTTTCCAAACTGGCTATAGATGTCTATTCATGGCTTTGAAACCTTTTATGTCTTCTTTTTTTTTTTTTTTTTTTTTTTTTGCCTCGGGCTACTCCTTGTCTTGGCTACCCTTTTTTTAAAAAATTTATTTATTAAAGATCTTAGAGATAATTAGAGCATGCTATGTAACCATAGGTTTGAGTTTATTTAGTTTCTTTAGGAAAAACAAGATCATACTATATAATACTTTTTTAAGTAAGAATGTAAGATACTTTGGTTTCTTCTTTGCTGTTTTGAGACAGGGTCTGGCAGTCTTAGAATTCACTATGTAGACCACACTGGCCTCGAACTTACAGAGATCCACCTGCCTCTGCCTCCTGAGTGTTGTGTGTGCCACTCTTCCCAGCAGTTCTGTGGTTTCTGAGTTTTAGAGATGCTTCTAAAAGTAAACATGGTCGATCCTTTCAGAGGTGTGGAAGTGGCAGCATGCTCAGGGCGTGGCACACAATGGTGTCTGGGTTGCCTTGGCATGGCATATTTGCCTCTCTCTGTCTCCTAAGTTTGCAAATGCTGATGCTTTCCCTCTGCCTGAAACCCTGTGCCCTCAAATTTAGCTTCCTAGAGGCTGTCTCCTCTCTAGTTCTGATGTCTCTGAAGCCATACCCCAGAAGGTTTTACTCTCTCCTCTCTAGCAGCCCTTCCTCCCTTATCCTCATCACCACTGTGCATTCTTCAGGCTCTGACGGGTATGTAATCCAGCTCTGTGCACTTGCTTTCTGCTTGCTCCGTTGGTTCCACTGGGGCCTTGTTGTCTCCTTCACCACACTTCTCCGAGACCCGTGGGACCCAAAGCAGAACAGATACACCACGTCAACATTATCACTTGAATAGATTTTGAGGGGATGAATTAAGAACATTCCGTTTGGAATTGAAAGGTTTAGCAGCAGTTCTTGTGTTTTGGTTTTCTTTTAGCGTTGACAACATAAAATAATTTAACTTTTTTCTTAGCAGTTGTCCTCATCCAGCAGTAGTAGAATTGTGACCCATGATATCCCCATAAAGGTGATTCCTAGAAGATTGTGGAAAGACTTACAAGAACCCTCTGTCCCAGACTCTGATGTAAGTGTTGTCTGCAGTCCTATTCTTCAACACACAATAAAGGGTGGGGATTGATTTCTCCATTGCTAGTTGTCATCTTGCTGTGTATGTTATTTGAATTTGTATAATTTCTGAAAAGACTGTGAGTCAATCAACAAGACTCCAGATGTGAGTATGTGCCTTTTGCTATGTATGTAAATCCTGTTAAAGAGCTGATACCCATTTAGAAATGGCATACTTTCTATATAGAAAGGGGATGGTGATGGCTTGTAACAAAAGAAAATAGAGCCTAAGTTATACTTTGGAAGGCAGTCTACCATGGCTCTTGGCTTTAGGTACAAATTCATGTTTCATAGGCCTAACAAAAGAGCCAGAAAACACATTTTGTTGACTTGGAACTTAGGTTAACAGTGACCTTCTAGCAACCTCTGCATCATTGCAAAGAAAGAGGATGCCAAATGGTCTTTTGTCTCTTGTATATATAAAAAGAAATCAAACAGATACCGGATGAAATGTGTAGTTGGTTAAAAGGTGTCTATGTAGGCTTGGAAAACGCCAGCGTTACATCAGTGCTGTTGGTAACATAGCTCATATGACTCATGATAATGGCTGGCTGTACTCTTACAGAGTACACAGAAGGCCCCTGGGTTCTTAAACATTTTCCAGAGGAAGGCTTCTTGCTCAGCACTTGAGGTGTATTCCCCTTGGACCTGTATATTATCTCAGCTGATGTACTGTGTTCCTTCTTGAACCAGAACAATGCTTTTGGGAGTATGGTCACCATGGTAACCAGAGCCAGGTATCCAGGTATTTTTATTTGCTTGAATAAGTTAGTGAAACTTTCAAAGTTTCAAAGGGACTTTATTTGGAAAATTTAAAAATGTGATTCTGAGTTTTTGACACAAGTACATTTCACCGTTGTTAGTTGAGTACTTGCTGTTATGGACTCTGTTAAGATTTCTGATCCGTGTGATTTCTCATACTGATTTTTAGGTCAGTATTTATTTACCAGCCTTGAAGACAATGAAGAGTGTTGTGGAGAAAATGAAAAATATCAGCAATCATCTGGTAAGCGATTGATTACGCCTTCAGAAAAGAGCTGTGAGTGAGCTCCCGCCGTGTGAGTGGCATGTCCTGGAGGTGTAGGTACCCCCTCGTCACCAGAAGGTGTCTCTGCTAGTGGGTTTCTCCCACAGAGGCCCCACTTGGGAGAACAGAGTTTGGTATTGCCTTCTGGCCTTTAGGGACCTGTTCTTATGTCTTTCAGCTCTCATTCACTGGGGAAAACTTTCAAACTTGCTCTTAATCCCTCGTGGTTATAGTATATCGGGAACATGTCCCAACAGTTCTGGTAATTTGGACAGAGCATTGCAGTTTTTGATGGTCTCCTTTTTGGTGCTGAGGATTAAATGGAAGGCTTCATGCAAACTGAGAGCGTATTCCACCACCGAGCTGAGTGAATGGTCGAAGCCCCAGTGCCTTTCACATGTTAGCATGTGTGGGCACATTAGACACTGACATATAGGTGGGCTCTATATTATTTTTCTATATATTTTTGAAGGTCCAAAAATAGCTCAAACTTGATGGACTGTCGTCATTTACACATAATGTGTCCTGAATTCCACATTTATTCACCCCTTAAGACCACATTCTATTATGTTCCTAAATCGTTTCAAAGCCACTGCCTACCTAACACACAAACCTGTGACTTTTCCAACCTCCAAGGCCACGTCTCTATCAGCCAGGCCCTCCCGGCAGATCCATACCGGCCTGGCCCTGTCATTTCCCTGCTTAGTAACACTTCCTACTCAGTCGCTGTGTCTCTCATCTCCTTGAAATGTTCAGCCATTGTCAGTGTTCAGCCCAAACTCCTGTAGGAAACTCCCTGTGCTGAACCCCTGACCCCCCCCCCCCCCACACACACACACACACACGTAAATCGGTATCTTGAAATCTCCAGAACTGCCAGCTTCAAGGAAGGGAAATTCTTTCTTAACCTTCTGTGTCAGAGTCCAGGGCCGGGCCGTCACCCAGTAGTCTGTAATTGATACGTTGCATGGATGGGAGTAACATTTAGCTCCTGGGAATCTTTACATCACAAGAGGATTTGAAACATAGAAAGTGGTGGGGTTTTGGTAGTGTTGTTGTTTCTCTCACAAGTCCTCACTTCAGAGCAGTGCTGCCCTCTGAATCAAAAATCCGGCTCCCTTTAAATAGCACACACTGTGTCGGCAGTGCTGTTCACCACCTCTGCCACAGTGTTGATCCAGTTGTCAGCCTGGCTTCCTCTAAGGTACCCTGGGACTTCTAGGAGACTCAGGAGGCCCAGAGGGAAGAGTCAGGGATCATGTGCTTGTTCTTTCTGTCCTGTGGAAATGAGTCAGCAAAGGGGTTAGTGAGAGCAGTGGCAGTTGTTTCTCTTCTGGAGTGCTCGACAAATGCTAACTGGGATTACCGAGCTAGAACAGCCAGATGCATATGAGATCTTTCTGGGTACTGGGAGCCAGAGAGCTAAAGAACTAAGTAGATGCTTCCAGGGGAAGCTGCATGTCTTAGTAGTTTGTACAGTAGAGACAGTTGGGAAATTATCTTGGTCCATTTCCACATTTATAGTGAAACTTCCTAACTGCACCGACAGAGCATCAGTAAAGATCATGAGTGAGTCCCATACAAAGACACTGCAGATTCAGAAGGGGCTGGGGCTGCTGTTGCCTAACCAGGACAGAGAGCTGCAGCTGTGCTGGTGTCTGGCCTGGCCTCAGTGTTCACAGAACAGCTTGGAGAGACAATGTGGGGCTCCGACACTCACTTTTTCCCCATGGGGTCCTCTCTTCAACTCCTGTTCTCCCTGCCTGATGTGGGAAGGTCATTTGTCAATCTGTTGTTTCATTGGTTGATCAATAAAGCAAACTGCTTGGTCTGATAGGTCAGAAAATTAGGTAGGTGGAGTAAACAGAACAGAATGCTGGGAAGAAGGGAAGTGAGCCAGACGCCATGCCTCTCCTCTTTGGTCAGATGCGATGGAGCAAACCGCCAGGTCAGACATGCTGAATCTTTTTTGGTAAGACACCACCTCATGGTGCTACACAGATTACTAAATATGGGTTAAGCAAGATATGAGAGTTAGCCAAGAAGAGGCTAGATACAATGGGCCAGGCAGTGTTTATATGAATGCAGTTTGTGTGTTGTTATTTCGGCTGTAAAGCTAACCATGTGGGAGCCGGGCGGGACAAAAAGCAGGCCTGCCCGCCGCTTCTTCTACACCTGCCCTGGAACTATTGCCATAGGCCAGAGGAGTCTCCTCTGTTTTTAATCTTTCACCATGCCCATACTATTGGTTCTTTTATCTGGAAGGAGATTTGCCAATCAACCTATGCATGACACTCTACATTTCTGGTTTGGTTGTTGGTATCTGCCTAACTAGTCTCCAGAAAGTCCCACCTGCAGTCTGCGGTCAGCATTCTGCCAGCCAGTAGCACAAACATGCTGCCTAATCTGGAAAGGGGAGGCATCGTCCATGTCACTAGGACCATCCTCTGAGCATTGCAGGCAAAGGATCCCAGGTCTGGGGAGGAAAGGACATCACCCTGCTGGCACAGCTCTGTTGTCATGCTGTAGTTTAGGACATGCAGCATTAGCATGCCCTGGAAACTGGTCAGCATATGATATCTGTCTTATGCTTATTGCATAAAATTTCTGAACTCCAAATCTTCTTGTGCTAGAAACAAAACAAGGTAGATTCTCTGAACTCAGATGAGCTCTTGTTTTTGAACTTCTGACATTATACACTATGTTTCCAAGCTCACAGCCTTCTAATCTAGTTGCTTCCTTAGAGTAAAAGCTTTCATGTTAAGACTTTCAGTAAGCAGAGCTCTTCTTTTCATTTCTTAACCCACGGTCCTATAATCCGGAATGATAAGTGACCAAAACAAAATGTAGACAGCAATATTTGTGAATGTTCTGGGGTACTCACTGGGGCTCCACAAAGCTCATATGTGGCCTGTTATCATTTACTTCCAACAACTGTGTGCTAATACCTGTAGATTTGATTGCTTCTGAAAAACAGTGTGTTAGAAACAAATATCCATTAAGAAGGCAGCTTGCCTTGGCTTTGAATTCACTGCAGGCATGTGTACTGTACTTCCATGCTTCAAATTCTTTTTTTAAAAGATTTATTTATCTATTTATTATTTGTATAGTATTCTGCCTATATGCATGCCTGCAGGCCAGAAGAGGGCACTAGATCGCACTATAGATACTTCTGAGGTACCATGTGGTTGCTGGAATTGATCTCAGGACCTTTAGAAGAGCAGCCAGTGGGTGCTCTTAACTTCTGAGCCATCTCTCCAGCCCATCTTCAAATTCTTAAAGTCTGAGTAATGGAGCATTAGATTTCAAAGCACACATGATCCAGAGTGCCGGACACATGATGCATTTAGTCAGCATGTGAAAGAATTATCAGCAGCCAGCTCCCTGAACCTGTCACTCAGAGCTGATTTAAGATGCAGTTTTCTGTCCTCTCATGCACATCAACATTCAGTTTCCTAAGCATCAGGATAAGAGTTTACTTTTCCTGCAACTCCCTTAATGATCATTTAGTGCCATTAGTTGACTCCTGACCAGCAGTACTGGTACCTGCTGTAAACTACCTGAGTGCTCCAGAGCCATAAAATGCATGACAGCTGCACTGCTGCCCCCATTATAGATACTGTGCCTCCAGCCGCAGGTTTCACTTGACCTAAAGGTCTGACTCCAGAGCCTCCCCTCTCCCTGAATCACAGTGCTTCTCACCCTAAATCCTTCTCAGCTCTTCACTAAGCTGCTCCTACAGAGCTGCTTCTTCCAGCATCACATCTGAGCTCACCTCCAGCAGACTACGCATTGTTAGGCATTGCTACTGGACATGGTCAGAAAACAGGCAACGTTAGCATGCCCTGGAAACTGGTTGGAAGTCTAGAGCCTGGGCCCATCTTAACCAGACCTCAGGGATTCTCCTGCACAGAAGTGTGATGATGTGGGGGAGGAGAGCTCTTGTTGCAAGAGCCACAGCCACAGCCTACCATGCTTCTTGCATTCAGTGAGAAAGAAGGAAATGGTCATTTCTGAAGGGTACATAGTTAAGGCAGTTTGATCCATCCTTTCTGATCTTTCCTCCCATACAATGTTCTTTTTCTTACCTGGCAGAGCATCTGTCCTGACAAGTTAGGATCCTTTCACTCCATGCCTGCTATAAGGGAGCTCTTACCTCCACTCCACCCTCATCACTTTGCTGGTCCCTCCAGAACCTTGATCCTTGACAGAGTGTCCCAGCAAGGCCCCTCCCTCTTCCCCCTGCTGTCTTCTCCACTAGGGGAATACCTTATTGATTTTAGGGGATATTTGAGTTCTGGGCTTTCATAAACCTCTCTGTGGTTGTTGGGGAAGGGGCTTCAGTGCCCTGTGAGGTGTTAGGTTTGTGACACTGCCTTGTTACCTGGCTTTTGTGGAAGCTGGTACCCATGTGCTGTTCTTTTTCCTCTTTTCAACATTGGATTTTAATCAATTTGCAGGTTATTGAAGCAAACCTAAACGGAGATCTGAACCTAAAGATAGAAACTGAGTTGGTATGTGTGACAACTCATTTTAAGGATCTTGGAAACCCTATATTACGTGAGTTTTCTTGTGGGTTATATTTTGATTCTAATGAATTGTTTGAATATATATTGAGTTCTTTTAATGAAAACATTGAAATCTGGTTTTCTTTGTTTCACACTTGAGAAGGGTCTGAGATAAAATTTCCTGTCCTTATGACATAATGGCACTAGGCAAGGGGTCAGGCCACCAGGCAATAAGAATGATGCTTCCCTCCCCTGGGATTCAGGTCACAAACAGTGACTTCCAAGAATTCAATAGCTCTTTGTAGCTGGCATTTTCTTTGGGTTGCCAACCAGCTCCCAAATAAAGACACAGAGATTTATTATTAATTGTGAATGCTCAGCCTTATTATTAACTGTGAATGCTCAGCCTCACCTTAGGCTTGTCCCACTAACTCTTAACTTAATTCAACCTGTTTCTATTCATCTTTGGGCCTTTTTTACCTTTCTTTCATTCTGTATGTCCTACTTTCCTGCTTCCTCCATGTCTTTCGGGCTGGCCTCTGGCATCTCTTTTTTCCCTAAGCCTAATTCCTCCTAAGCAACAGATAGATACAAGACCCACCTCCATCATTCTCCCTACCTAGAAGTCTGCTTATACCTCCTCCCTTGCTATTGGCCATTCATCTTTGTATTAGACCAATCAGGTACCTTAGGCAGGCAGGGAAAAAAAGCACCACATCTTTGCATAGTTAAGCAGACATTCCACAACAGCTCTTCATTTGCCACTGTGTTCTGGAGGTTAAGATTCTCATTTGGACTGGAGTCAACAGCTGTCTTTCTCATTTTCTCCTCTAGTCAATTCAGTACCTGTGAAGTTAGATTGGCAAATACGAATGTGATGCAGATGAACTTGGTCACTTTACATCTCATAAAGGTCAGGAAGGAATGTGAAATCAGTTCAGTGCGCCTTGACGGAAGGGGTGGTTGTGCAGCTTGGTGAGCAGTGAGCCTAAATTAGACTCCTCTCCTCAAATAGGGAAGCAGCCAGGGGGCCAGAGAAGAAGTGTCTGGAATGTGGGAGAGCCAGTTTCTGATATACATGTATTGTCAAGCGGATAAGATGCCTTCATCACTTTTACAAGTTGTAGTCTACTGGGTTGCTAAAAAGAGCTGTATGGTTGATCAGATCATGAGTTCCTTGTTATGTCCAGAGATATTGGATTAAAAAGAAAAATGTCATTTCAGCCTCTGAGAGCGTCTCTCAAAACAGACACCCAGAAGACATGGTCGAGGTGCACATTGACATAAGGAAACTCCTCCAGTTCCTTGCAGGACAGCAAGTGACTCCCACCAAGGCTGTGTGCAGTAAGTTTGCTTTTTCCTTACCCACCTCTAGTCTGATATGCATACAGTCTTCTAAATGCAAATACGCCCAGTTTGGGAACTAAGGCTCCCTGGGCAGTCAGGTTGTAAAGTTTCCTTGAGCTAGAAGTATCTAGAGATGCTGAAGAGTGATGGTGAGCAGTGTGGTACCAGCAAACCGGCAGCCATTCTGGACTGGCAGTGATACTGTCTGCACAGTCAGCGCAAGCTTTCCCACAGCAGCGGAGTTCTTCAGATTTCGCATAATCAGAGCCCTGTATATGCTTTTGCCTAGATCTGAGTTTCAGCTTGAGCCCATTGCCTTTCCTTTCATTGCCTACCTGACCTGTGCTCACTACCAAAGTCTCCTCCGTTGTTGGTTATTAATGGCTTGGACCCCATCCTGGCTCTAGTTACACACTGCCCTGTTCCTCTTCCCCTGCTCTCCCCTACTGAGCTAGGAAGTTCATCAAGAGCTTCTCAAGGCTCTTTGTCTCCTTGTGTGTTTTGTTTTGTTTTGAAAAGGGCATAGCAAATGGCCTAGATGTGACATTCCTCTCTTTGTGGAAAGTGCCTGGGATGACCTCTCATCCACAAAGCTGAGGGAGATGACCTGGGACTCGATCCTATAGTAATGGAACAGAAAGTTCTGGGTAGTTCTGTCAATGACCAGCCTTTCTGAAAGAGAAAAGGGACATGTCCTAGTTAGGGTTACTATTGCTGTGATGAAACACTGTGACCAAAAAGCAGCTTAGAGAGGAAAAGATTTATTTGGCTTACATTTCTACATCACTGTTCATCATCAAAGGAAGTCAGTACAGGAACTCAAGCACTGCAGGAACCTGGAGACAGAAGCTGATGCAGAGGCCATGGAGGGATGCTGCTTCCTGGCTTGTTTCTCATGGCTTGCTCAGCACGCCTTCTTATAGAACCCTTTGCCACCAGTCCAGGGATGGCCCCACCCACAATGGACCGGGCTGTCCATCAATCACTAATTAGGAAAATGCTCCTTATAAGCTTCCCTACAGCCCAGTCTTACGGAGGCATTTTCTCAGCTGGTGACTAGCTTGTGTCAAGTTCACATAAAACTAGCCAGCACGGGATGAGAAAGCACAGAGAGACTGTGTGAGAGGCTGTGGCGCGAGGACACAGGGAGGAGTTTGGTGGTGTGTAGCACAGCCTATCACAGTGCACAGGACCTCAAGCACTTAGACCATGTACTCTGGTCACCTTACTTTGGGTACCTGCTTTTACCAGGAAGGCTAATTTGGTGAAATCAACCTGGTTTTCCCCCTAAAGCCTAGGTAGCTTCTTTCTTCCATCTCTCACACTGTCCCCAGTGGGTGGCAGTAGCATGTGCTGTGGCCCTCACGAGCCCTCAAAGGGAACAGACACCAAGCATAGGAAATGTCCGTGGCAGACATGTGACAGGGAGGATGAAAATCTGTCTTTAACACCTGGGTCTTTTTCTCCTAGATATTGTGAGTAACAGGATTGTTCATTTCGATTTGCTTCTGGACGACATCTCCCTTCAGTATTTCATCCCAGCCTTGTCCTAGCGCCATCTCAGCCGACTTAGGAGCACAGAGACCTCTGTCGTGATGAGAGAAGCCCTGGATGGTGTGCAGGGCAGCTGCCCGTCCTCAGTCCTCACAACACCACAGGCTTGCACTCCGCTCTTTCTCTCCATGCTGGCGTAGGTACAAGTGAAATTAATGAAGCACAGTGAGATAATCATTCCTTCATATTTCTCAAGACCAGCACTGTCCCCTTATCCCGTGGATCTAAGACGTGAAGAAGAAAAGACGGAATTTTTTTTCAAGGGTCTTTTGTTGTTTTGTTTTCCTTTGGTGTTAGAGATGAGATCAGGGCCTTCTCTGTGCTAAGCATGTGCTCTGCCACTGAGTTGCTCCCTAGCCTATCTAAAGTTGAGTAGCAGTTTGTCACTGATGTTTCAAGCTCATCGTGTGTATAGCATTGGTGTTGCAGTCAGAATTCACAGCAATACTACTCAGCTAGTTCCCAGCTTAGTCCCTAAAATGCTGCAGTTGTTTGCTTTCAGGTTTTCAGCATGCTCATCTCTCCCAACCGCCATGTCTGGGAGCTCAGTGCAAACCATGCAACCCCTCTGTCCCTGGCAGCATGCCTGGTTTCTCACCAATACAGCTACAACATGTGGAACGTTGCCCAACTTACTGAAGGTTCAAGTTCACTTCCTTCTCACTGCCTGAAGAACCTCTCAGCCTGGGGAACCTGCAAAATTTCACAGCCTGGAGAACCTTCAGAACCTCTCCTCTCAACCTGGGGAACCTGCAGAACCTCACAGCCTGGGGAACCTGCAGAACCTCTCAGCCTGGGGAACCTGCAGAACCTCACAGCCTGGGGAACCTGCAGAGCCTTTCCTCTCAGCTGGGGAACCTGCAGAGCCTCTCCTCTCAGCTGGGGAACCTGCAGAGCCTCTCCTCTCAGCTGGGGAACCTGCAGAGCCTCTCCTCTCAGCTGGGGAACCTGCAGAGCCTCTCCTCTCAGCTGGGGAACCTGCAGAGCCTCTCCTCTCAGCTGGGGAACCTGCAGAGCCTCTCCTCTCAGCTGGGGAACCTGCAGAGCCTCTCCTCTCAGCTGGGGAACCTGCAGAGCCTCTCCTCTCAGCTGGGGAACCTGCAGAGCCTCTCCTCTCAGCTGGGGAACCTGCAGAGCCTCTCCTCTCAGCTGGGGAACCTGCAGAGCCTCTCCTCTCAGCCTGGGGAACCTGCCGCTAGGGAGCCTGAGATCCTGAAGACTAGCAACCAGTTTCCATCTTGAACTTCTCCTTCTGTATACTTTTCTCTTGAGCCCACTTTGATTTTAAGTTATAACTTATTTTACTTTTTTGTAGTGCTCAGGATCAAATCCAGGAATGGAAACATGTTAGACAGACAAGCCCTCTATGCCAAACTATATCCCTAGTCATCTAAATCATAATTTTGTATAATTCTTCCACAGTTTCAGGGTCACCTTTCTCTTAAGCACATTGTGTTTTGCATAAAGCAGCTGAAGCTTGGCCATCATAGGCAAGGCTGTGTTCTGCTCCTGTTTTGGAGCTGGCTCACCCTGGAGGTGTACTTCCTCCAAAAACACCCTAGCAGGCTTCCTGATTTAACTAGGTGTCAGGTGTCAAGCTACATGAAGCCACATGAAGTGGCATCAGAAACTGTTTCCATGTCAGAGTTCAGATCTAAGTTGCTAGGATAAGATTTTAAAAAGGCGTGCGGGGTATTTAGGGAAAGTATTGTTTCTTAAGCGCTACTAGGATAATATATTTGTTGCTGTTTCAGTTTTTATTAGACAGGTTCTCATGTAGTTTAAGGTGGCCTGATGAGCTGGAGCTAATATTGGCCTTGAACTGCTGAGCCTCCTACTTCCCAGGTGTTTGGATGACAGATAGGAGCCGCCATGCCTCTAGCTCTACTGATATTTAATAAGATAGATTTAGTTAAACTAACATTTTTAAATTAGGGATTTTTTTACATTGTTAAAGCATTTCTTCGGTTCATAATGAGAGGTAGTCCAGGTGCCATGATATAGCCTCAAAATCATGATGCAAATGAAATTTCAGGAAGTTCCCTATGAAGCTTCTTTTTCTGTCTAAGTGTCAGTGCTCACTTGTCTCTGAGGTCCCCACTGTGCCACATGCTGTTGGTGATGACTTTGCTTAGTAACTTAACATGGGCGAGAAGAAGCCCTCACTGGCAGTCAGGGGGCTGTGGTCTTTCTGGTTCTTGTCACAACTTTCTGCATAGTGTTCATAGCTGTGTCTCACAGATCTGAAGTCAAAGCAGGGAGCTCAGAGTGGGGTTATGGGAATTTGGAGGTACTTTGTGGAACCTCATCCTGAGATGAGAGCAGAGTTTTGCTATGTATAGAAGAAGCATGGTGTCTGAGGCTTGGAGGCATTTTTTCTTACTCTGATTGCCTAAGAATGCTTTCCTGAATGTTAGAACCAGTGAGGTACCCCCTGACCTTGCCTGCCAGAGCTCAGAACCCACATCCCTGGTAACCATGCCTTAAACTGAGATTTAAGACCATCCTAACGATGGGTCAAAAATGCAGAATTCTTAATGTAGCCATTTTTGCCAATGTCCAAGCAGCCTTTTTAATCCTGTGGGCATCCCCTGGTCCAGCAAGGACCTTCCTACCCATCAGGTCTCCAGACTGAGTGTGTCCTGCCCTGCATCCTGCTACAAAGAAACCTGCTCTTGGAAGCCTGAAAGGCGGTTCAACATTAGTTTTGACTTGAGGCAGGAATACTGGTTCTTCTACCAGATGCAGTGGCCGATGACATATCGGTAAATGTCACCCAGTTGGTCAAGAGTCTGTTGTTTTTAAGAGACAAAATTCTGTACTTTTTTATTTTAAAGACGTTGGGATATCAGAGTGCACAGCCTAGAGGTTCTTCCTTGATGGTCCAGTCACGTAGTCACCCCACCTTTCACTCTGTGCTTTCCTCCTGGACTACTTATTCTTTCCTTTCTGTTTCCATACTTACTGGTTCTGGACAGCTTTCTAAACTCCTCCCCAGGTGCCCAGGCCTCTGGGAATAACCATCCTTTACTTTTGCTGTGAGGGCCCAGTGTGAGGTTCTTGACTCTCGTGGTTCTGTATCAGTGTCTGTATATTGAGTACATACATACCTTAGCCTTCACAGCATGGCTTTGCCCATGGCCATCTTTGTGTAGTGAGTCTGTCTAGAAATTCTGTATGGCCTGCATGCACTGCAACCATTGCAAAGCTTGATGGCATTGCCATTTCCACGAGGGTGGACTTTGATGGCAGTGAGGTTCATCCCCCCCCCCTTTTTTCCTTTTAATGGCCCTGAGTAGCCTAGCTCTGCTCTGCTCACACTGTCCCATGTGGAGGTACCAGACCCAAGCAGGTCTCCTACAAAGTCTCAGAATGTGGGGGAGCAAAATGCCCAGCTCCCACCTATTTTTTTTCACTGTAGAATCAAATACAGGGACTTTCTCTATGTGTGGTCCTGTGAGCTTGGTAGAGCAGTCTTAGAGTTACCCTGCCTGTCTTTCTGCTCATGGTTTTGCATTTCTCTGTGGCCCAGTGGGTACCACAACTTCACTTTGGCTTCAGGGGATTCAGGGTGATGACCTTGCTCTAGTTGGATTATGTGACAACATGGGGAAGTCCTAGATTTCTGCTCCGCCATTTTCCTAATGCCACACTCCCAACTCTGCTTCTGTGTGGATTCTGATGGAGAATCTCAAAGGGAGCCTGGGCTTGTGGGTTTTCTCTAAGCAGTGTTCAACTAGGAGGTGATAAATTAGGGTCACTTGCACATTAGGGCGTGTGCATGCAGTTTGCTGTCTACTATCTGTGGGAAAACTTGAAACTGCTCCCTTTGATTAATACTTATGCTCGTAAGACTTCTTACACAGGTTATAGTCAAAGCTGAGCACTGTCATAAATTAAGGATTTCTTAACGTGAATGACTGGGGAATTGGCAGGTGATCTGATCTGTGTGATGCAATGTCATTTCCTAATACTGCAGGACAAAGCACTGTATGTATGGTAACAAAGCCAGTGGGATGTTAGTGTTCAGTGTGGCAAAGAAGACCAGGAAGTGTACATCTAAACCCAGCTAGCTCTGGGTGGTTTTTATTTCAACGTTTTTATGTGTATGTTTTCTGGCAATTTCGTAACCAACTTTGTAATGAAAATATTTTTATAGACTTAAATAAATATTTATTACTTGACTATTACTTGAAATGTATTTATTAGCACACATATTCATCTGGCAACTTTAATTTCCTGAATGTTATAATTTAGGCTTCATTTTCACAGCATACCCTTATTTTCTACAGTGGGAAGTAACATTTTATTTTTTTTTTACCATGTTGAAGTTATACTGGGTTCAGAGTACTGGAGCCTGGATTGATAAGACCATTTTACAGAAAAAAATTTCTTCTTATCATGGGACCAACATGAATAGGCCCTACATGGACAAGTTAGTTAGCTTTCCTTCATTGTGACAACATATCAGAGATAATCAGCTTCTAAAGAAGAAAGGTTGGGGCTGATAAGATAGCTCAGTGGCTAAGGGTGCTTGCTGCCAAGCCTGACTGTCTTGAGTTTGAACCCATGACACGCACTGTGGAAGGGGAAAAACCAACTTCTCAGTAAGTTGTCCTCTTATCTCCATATGTATGTATGCAATGTCATGCATGCATGTGCACAAAGACACACATACAAATAAATGTAATTTACTTTCTACTAGACAAAAAGTAGAGAGTAGGTTGAGGCACATATCCCTTTCAAGGGCACACTCCCAGTAATTAGCCTCCTTCCACCAGGCCCCACATCCTTCAGGTCCCTCCATGTCCAGGCAACTGGAGATCAAGTCTACATGTGGACTCGTGGGGGCATCCGATCTCTAACCTGGGTCATAACTGAGGCACAGTGCCTAACGCTGTCTGCAGAGGAACTTGAGCACGTTATTAATGTTTCTTAGTCCGAGCATTCTGGGAGAGAGCAGCTAAGCCAGGACTCCTCACAAACAACTGGGCAATCAGTGAGAAGCACAGGGACGGGACAAAGAGAAATGGCACGTGCCTATGCGTCCACTGTCCGTTTCACAGAGCAGTGCTGTTGCCAGCAGCACTCCAAACGATGCTGGACTCTACACTCTAGCACCCAGTCTTGGATAATCAGTGGCCACTAAGGGGCCACCAGTGGGTGGTTGGAGCTAAAGAAAATGCAGCCCTCTGGTGGATTTCTCAATTAGAAGGCATACGGCACCACTTGTAGGTTTTACAACCCAACGAAACCTAGAAATTGGCCTTGTTTCCAAGGGACTGATGGCCACGAGCTCCCAACAGCACAGGGTGCATAGGTGCTTTGCCTATGAGTGTAGTATAGGCAAAGGACTCCAGCGACATCTGCTACTATGCAGTTCAGAGCTTCGGTCAGTGTTTCGGGTACACGTGACACCACTCGTTTACCATAGGGCCCTCCACCCAGGTAGCCTGTTTCTAATCCAGCGTTATTATGAGCTTAAGGTTTCAGAGGCTCCATGTGTGAACACCCTAAGCCCTTTCACTATTCACATGTTCATTTATCTGTCATCATCTTCCTTACAGAGACAGCATCCTATATAGTTTGTCCTGTGAGGTTCCCTGCCTGAAGGGAAAAACATGCAGATGGCCAGAGAGAAGTAAGAATCAGAATGAGTTGAGTTTCTGCCCTGGATTTCTGTACTTTAATCTGTTCTTTTCCCTTGTGGGTTGCTACCAAAGAGGCAGAGGGTATAAGGAACCCTTCTTGTAGGTGGATAGCACAGGACCATTGCCTCTTTCCTAAGGTCCCACTCCACGTTCACACTGGGACTTCACCAGTTCCTGGAGCATGTTGCATTTTCAAATCAAGAATGCGATGCTCAGCATGGCTTGAATGTTTATTCCTCCTATGTACCCAATGGACCTTGCTGACTGAACAAGCTCTAAGTACCCAGGAGAAGGAACAACCGCTTTACCCC